CAAAGCGGGCAAAATTTGGTACCTCTTCGGATCTTAACGATTCTAATGACGTTTCAATCACTGTTAAGCGATGTGTCATTCTCAAGATCATCGCGACAGAAAATATCGAGCTTGGATGCGTAGGTAGAGAAAGAAAAATAGATGGTATTCAAGTTTCACTCGAATACGAAATGCGATGCGAAGCTCGAATCGGATCTTCACGAAAAATCTTCAATTCAGAGAAATCTTAAATACTTTTTATGTCGACATGATCAAATTCATCACTGAGAAAACTCTATTCTTACTTAGCGATACATTCTTATAGATTGATTTCGATTGATCGATTAATTATCTCCATGATTCATTATATTAGATCAGCTGTAAATGAATAGACTATAGTGGCTAACATATGTTGATGACGTCACTTTAATTATCTCTTGATAAATTTCTTTCATTTTCGTCATTTTGGAGCGATATTTTTAGGCGATCGAAGCGTCCTATTAAAAATTAGAAAAAAAGATTTCTCAAGTTCGATCTTGATACTCTCATCTCCAGTTTCAACGAGATTTCTATGATTTTCTGTTCTCGAGATCATCGCGACACAAAATGGCGAAAAAGACGCGTACGTCAAGTGAGTAAAAAATAATAAAAAAAATAAAAACTAGATGGTATTCAAGTTTTACTCGAATACAAAATGCGATGCGAAGCAGGAATCTCCATCCAGGAAAAATCTGCAATTCAGAGAAATCTTGAATACTTTTTATGTCGACATGATGAAATTCATCACTCAGAAAACTCTATTCTTACTTAGCGNTATTGATGTCAGCGGCGGCGAATAACGCTATCAAAAATGTTTATCTCTTGCAGCGGCGCAACGGCTAAACTTGTTTTTTTGCAGCGGTGGCTCTCCAAAAATTCTTAAAATTATCAGTAATTTAGTGGCTGCGGCGGCTCAGTCGTACGGCTGACACCTCTAGATACAATGTGAAGAATATTAATTATACAAAGCAAACTTTGTTGGAGATTGGTATCAGTCATTTTATTTTCTCACTTATGTGGTACTCAAGATTCTTTGAAATATTCGACACCTTTGGTCATAAAAAAATTTTCAAAGTGTAAATATGTAGTAATTCAATAAATTTATTCATCTAATTGTACGAATTGGATTTCTATCTGACTCACAGGTATACATATACAACGCACATGTGAAGAAAAAAAATAATAATAAATTTGCATTCAGTTGAAAAATAGTCATAGAAGTACATTTCCTGAAGATAACAAAAATAATCTATTTGACATGATTTGAGATTAACAAAAAAAAATATATGTATATATATGTATCTATCTGTACATCTGACTAAATACGAATAACGATTTCACCAGCTAACATAATTTGATTGTCATCTTGCATTTTTGCTAGAGCCATTCGAATTTCATCTTCACTAAATGTTGAATCATGCTGTTTCATGTATGCAAAAATTTCATCAGTAGTAACTGATGGTTGTCGATCAATAAATGTCGATAAATGTGTTTTGAATACATCTAATCGAGCTGAACTAACAATTATTTGTGATGCTAGTGGTACAGGTTCTTCATCAACTGCTAATTTTCTTGTTGGACGCCGTTGACGCTTCATTGCACTACCACTATCACTTTGAGGTGTATCTGCCGGTGACGATTGACGGCTAGAGTAAAACAAAAAACTCATTTTTAGAAAAAAATTAATGTATACAATGAATTGATATACCGTCGTTTAGGTGTAGCTGGTTGAGAACCAGCATTATCGATCTCCATATCGCCATCATCATTTTCTTTATCCTTATCTACTTCTGCTTCTTCTTCTTCGTCGTCGTCATGTGATTGTGGTTTATTTGTATCTTTCTTACGCTTGGATTTTTCTAATACCTGAAAGATAAATAATTTCATTTAAGCTAGTTGTATAAATCAGAAAAAAAGAATAAAAGACGAACCTTTTTAAAGATAGCAAATTGAACAAGATCAATTGCAACTTCACTATCTTCCGGGTCGACTGTTTTCGACATACGACATTTTGCATGAGCTGTTGCTAAACGAATCATACTTTCCAATGCTCGAGCTGTAATTGGTTGTGTCTAATAGATGAAAAGAAAGATATTGTTTTCTAAAATTTGATTGAAACTGAAAACATGATTTAATCATACTCGAGCTTGATTATCTGTTTGAGATAAATCTTGATTTCGTAAACGTGTATATTCTTCAACAATTATATCTGCTGCTTCTTTGGTCAATTGTGGTTTAAGTGCTTTAGCAAAATGAATATATTTTTTCATGAATCGTAAATTGATAAATTTTGTTCTGAAAATATAGATAAAGAACTTTTTTTAAAGTGAATACGAAAATTTTAATTTACTTTTTTGAATAGTAAGGACCATGAAGAACAGCATCATATTTATCATAGACTTGTATATCATCTTCAACATCTTTCTCCGCATCATGAGCGTTTTCTGTAGTTAAAGCATCGACTTCTGATGTAAATGGAAGGACTTCACCGTCAGCTTCATTTGCTGGTCGGTATCGATGCATACGAAGAACATGATCAGCAATAATATTATCTTGTTCCATATCACAATTATCAAGAATAACAAAGATAAGATCGAAACGAGATAAAAGCGAATCTTGTAAACCAATATTTTCCATTGGTGTTTTATATTGATCATACTGAAAATTTCAAAGATAAAATTAGTTTAAAAAAGAACCTATAAATTGAGGAAAACATACACGCCCATAAACTGGATTTGCAGCAGCTAAGACACTGCATCGTGCATTCAATTGAGCATGAATACCAGCTTTGGCAATAGTAACTCGACCTTGTTCCATAACTTCATGGATGGCTGTTCGATCAATATCTGACATTTTATCGAATTCATCAATGCATACAATTCCTCGATCAGCTAAAACCATAGCACCAGCTTCAAGGCGACGGTCACCTGTTTCAGCATCTGACGTCACTGCAGCCGTTAAACCGACACCGGATGAACCACGACCAGTTGTTGGAATAGCTCGTGGAGCTGTATGTAGAACATAACGAAGCAATTGAGATTTAGCTACTGAAGGATCACCAATCAATAATATATTGATATCACTAAATAGAAGAAAATTGTGCTACTTTGAAAATCTTCTACAATCTACTAATCATACCCACGAAGACGAGTACCATTGGGAAGTACTTTTTCTGTACCACCTAATAACATACATAAAATTGCTCGTTTAATATATTCATGACCATAAATAGATGGAGCAATTGAACGAGCCAATGTTTCAAAGACATCCTATGGAACAAAAAAAACACCCAAAATATTAAAGTCATTATTTTTTCTAAATGTATTTTAGACATACCATGTTGCGTTGTCGACTGAATGAACGAATTTTTTTCAAATCATTTATTGATACTTTTGGCTCCATTTCTTTACTCATTAACCGTATATTATTTGCTATCAATACCGTTCTACAAATAACGATTAAATAAAAGAAAAGTATTTTTCTTTTAAAATTAACATACCGAAAAGATACATTAGTAAAACCATTTTTTTTACCGGGTAAACATCTATATACACCAACAACTTGTACACGATCACCGGGCTATAAATAATATTAAAAAAATCGATGTGAAAATCGAAACAAAATGCTTTTATTCTCTATCCTACTTTGCATTGATCGACAAGATCAGCATCAGCAATAACATCAATTGAACGCGGTAATTGACCTGTTGGAGCCTTCTCAGGAATTTCTTGTATAACAAATGTTTGATGATCTTTATAACTCGATAAACCATATTCTGTTTCCAACAAATTACCATCTTCATCCTAATAAATCAATCATAAGAAAACAAAAATTCGTATTAATAATAATCCTATACTTTAGTTGGATAGACTGAAGATGTTGGAAAGGCTTCCAGTGATGTCATATCAGCATATCGTCGTTCCATAAATTTTTTTGTATTTGGACAAAAATGAACACTTCGAGTTACTTTTGGTCGAATTAATGAACCTTGAAAGAAAAAACAATCAGTAGATAAATATTTTTTCTAATTAATTCAAAATCCTACATTTATTTACGATGCCTTCAACACAAACAATTTTTCCAATAAATGATGAATTAATCGTACGTGGTGATAAATGAAAAGCACCAAAACTACAAAACGAAGATTATACTCATAGCAAACAGATGAATTCTTATGAAAAAGAAAAAAGTACAAACCTTCCTTCAAGTCCAATAAAAAATTCTTCAAATTGTTTAGCATAAATTGCATCAGTTGCCGAAATAAGTTCACGAATTGCACGTTGAAAACACATTAATTCTTCAAAAGCATTATCTTGTAAACTAAATATCATAGACAGCTTGTAAAAAAAATGTCTCCCATATTCAATGACAAACATACGCTTTTGTTCGTCGTGGATTTTTTCGACGTAAATCATTTATGTTAACAATTAAACGTGACTCATCATTGGCAATTAACATTTTTAATTTATCTTGATAAACACCTTCATCTTCCTACATAACAATAATACACGATTAGGAAAAATCGAAAAATAAACTACGCAAATCACAGCTTACACCATCATCAAGAAAATCTAAATATTCTCGTTGAATTGTACGTAAACGTTGTTCGTCAATTGGATCGACCATCTAGAAAATGTTAAACACATTTTAATACTTTATACATACATACATACACATATATTCATTTTGTAATAGATTTTATTTCATACGAATAGCGACAGCAGAAATAATGAACATATACAAAAAACAACACGACACATAAACAACAGAATAAAAAAAAAATATTCTGTTGTTTCTTGTTTTTGTTTGTTTTTATGAATACAATCTCAAACACATGTACAAATGTGACAATACCAAGCAAAAAAATGTTTTACAAGCACTAGAGGAAATAATATAACACATGAACTATGTTCAACACATAAACAGAAAAAAAAACAAAAAAAATGAAAAACGAAGTCTTTTCTGTATTTCCCTTAAAATTTTTATTTACGTAAAAGTAAACATGATTTAAGAATTGTATCAATTAAATCCGGTTGTTTTGCCTTGAGTTCAGTCCAACCCTATACATCAATAATATTAATTAAATATTCGAATATCAACAAGCAAACAAAAATCTTACTGTTGTTTCCATAACATTGCCTAAATTATTTGCAATATAATCACATGTTGTTTGTTTCAACATTTCCGATTTCATATTATCACTTAACATGAGCAATTCACTAAACAGACAAAAACAATATCATCAGTCAACTGATCTTAGATACAAACTCGTATGAAAAATACAACGATCGTATTCATTTCTCGAGAAAATGGCTCAAGTAAACAATATTTTTCTCCATACAAGATATTGTCATTAAGTATCCAACCGTATCGCACAACAAAATAGAAAAACAAATTTACGTACCAAGCATTATCAACACGAATAATATCTTTAAGATAATATTCAGCATAAGTTTTCAAATCAGGCATTTCATAATTAGCCGCAATTGTTAATAAATCGATGACAAGTGTGTGCGAGATACCAGCACCTGGTACACCCAATTTTTTAATACCACCCGTATACACATATTCAAGAAAGAAGAGAATTGTTTTCCGATCAATATCATTAATATCGATTGTAAGAAGTGATGAATCTTCAGCACCAGTAGCTCCTTGTGTTTCTGTTTCCATACTTTCGCTAGTCGTGTTAGCTGTGGAAGCAGTTGCACGTTTACCATGACGACTGAAAATAATAATAATAACTTAAATTTATTCCGTTTCCTCCTATTGGTAAACTTACGTTGGTTTAGCCGGTGGACTAACAGCTGTTGGATGAACTGTTGCAGTTTCTTTTTCTTTTATCATTCGTGCAAGTACATTGGAACGAAGACCAAGAATAAGTTTGTGAACGCTATATAATTCATTTCCACATCGTAAGTACATATCACACATACGTTTTTCTAAATAAGCTGTATAGAATAATGTTGGCCAATATGTTGCTGGATCTTCACTAATCGATGCGGTTGCGCTTGGTTTATTTAAACTTGTACGTGGCAATGCAACCAATGGTCGTGAAATATATTTTCGTTCATCAATCGATTGTCGTTCAAGAATCTTAATTTGACAATATAAACGAAGTTCATTACCTGGAAATAATTGTTGCTGAGCTTGTAATAATGTTGAATGTTTAATAAAATCACCAACACCCCAACGTTCGCCCGGTGCTAACACATGCGATGGTAATTGTTTAGTATTGACACGACGCCCACGTGCATCAATAAGTGAAAAACGAATAACGACACGAACACTTGGACCAAACGTATGTTCCAAAAAGACTGATAATGATTCTTTGAAACGTTCAGTTTTACCACTTGGATAAAGTATAAGAGACCATTGATGAGGTGGAATATCATTTTGCGGTGTTGTTGTTGTTGTCGTCGTCGTTGCTGCTGCTTTATTTTCATTTGTATTAGCACCATTTGTCATTTGTTCATCATCATCACCAGTTTGTTCTGGTGCAGCTGTCTGAATGTTTGTTACATTACCTGGTCGTTGTTTATTAAATGTAAATTCACACGACTCAATAAAACTATTATTTGGCGATTCATTAACCAAAGTTGAGAATTTTTCAATTTTCCACCGTAATTTCATTTTCATCACTTTTGATACAACACGTGAGGAACCTTCAACCATTTTCGATGTGCTTGTCTTCATACTACGCTTAGCTATGTCATCAATAGACATTAATTCAATGCTTATTATTAAATGATCTTTGGAATCTTTGTATAGTTGTTCACACAGAGCTCGTGACATTTTCATAATAACTAGTTCGTCAGTTATATTACCACCGCAATCATGAACAGTTTCAGTATGAAATATACGACCCTAAAAATAAAAATATTTTCCTTACAAATATATTTTTTTTCACTCTAAAATATGATTCTACTTGTGGGTTGGAAAAATTGATTAGAGCCCGAAAGTAAACTTGAAGTTGACGTGACGATGTATTCATCAATGACGATGCAATATGATTTGGATTATTTGATCCTTGTCCATTTGCTGTACCTGTAGAAGCATTCGATGGGTGTTGAGATGCAACATGAGATGGACACAATGATAAATAGAATTGTGTTGTTGAATCATCATCAGTTGTTGAAGCACCACCTGTTGATGGTTGATTTTGTTGTTCCTTTGATAAACGTTGATGACCTTTTGGATAGAGACGTAGTGTCCAGAATTCCTTTTGCAAGTCATATGGTGGAAATTCTTCACTTTGAATCATATCACCACATTCATACCTTGACAAATGAAAAACAAAACATGGAATTAAAGAAGATACATATCGACTTTCTTGCGTACATTTGTGGATAAAAATCTTCTACAGTCCATTCAAATCGTACATGTGAAACATTCTCAATTGTTGTACACAACATATCTGCCTCGTTGGTTGGAATAGCTTTAGCTACACTTGCTACTGATGGATTTGATGATGACGATGATAATTGTCCTTCGTTTTGTTCATCACCTGCACCTGTTGCTTCTTCAGCAATACCTTCGCCACCTTGTTGTTGAACAGATCCAATGTCATTAACACTTCCTTTACCTACACCTTGATCAGAAAGACCGGCTGCTTCACATACATCGGATATTTGTCTTTGAGAACAAAGGCTATCGGCTCTAAAACGAAACGAATTACATATTGATTATAGAATGGTTTTGCTGCTTCTTACGTTTCCATTCCTTGAGGTCCTGCTGTTTCTTCAATTTGTGCACCACCTGATCGTCGTAAATTTTTTCGTGACATTAAACGTCAATACAAACAAGTGAATCAATTAATAATCTACAAATAAATGATCAATTTTTTTACCTTTCTGCAGTAACAATTTTCACAAAAAAAATTCAATTTTATTGAAAGAACCTTTTTTTTCGGACTAAATGCAGACGATCTGCTTTCGCATCAATGTTTTACAATTCGATTGGGCTACTCAATTTATACCAAATAAGCATATAGACACAAGTAAAAACCATATTATAAAGTGAACCCCATGCCAAATCCTGTAAAAGTAATGAAATCGGATAGCGACTTCCAAAAATAGCACGTGTAGTACAGTTGTAAACACCATAAACAACAAAACTACACAAATAAAATTGTATTTCATCTTAATAATAATACTTATGTACAAATATACCCATAGAGAAAGCCAGCTACGAGTCCACTTAACGCGCTAGATGATACTGTTGACCATGATGCTGAACGTTGTTTAAGTCGATCGAAATAGGCTTTAGCTAATTGTACAGTAATAAAATACCAACCGACAGCCATGACTTAAATGTTGAAAGATAAATATTTCATTATTTTGTCTTTTATTTTATTGGAATTATAGTCACTAACTTATATAGCAAATCAATGCAGCCACGGTGTCAATTTCCATTTTTTCTTTTTGAATATCTTGAACAATTTTTGCATAGCGATTTTTTGCCAGGAAAATGTAAAGAAAATCGAAACATACATAAATGATGCAGGCCACAACGGGCAGAATAACGTTTGTTAGACGGCTATTCATTGTGGAAGATAAAGTTTGATTTGATGTCAAGAAGAAAAAAACAAACGATAAAGAGAGGCTTTTGTTTGTCTTAAATGTTCTTTGTTCGTATTCGAACCAATAGTTCGTGAGATGATTTGCCTCCCTAAAAAATAATAGATGTCACCCACTGTTGACTTGCAACTAAAAGACATACTGCAATCATGAGAACTAGTTCGCGCTTATTGTTACCTTTCTTTTAGTGTTGTTATTTTTTCTATATGAATTAATTGATGAATAGATTAGGCATGAGAGAACATATGGAACACGACCCATGGGATATAAATGCTACAAGATTAAAAGATGAATTAAATATTGAACGGCATGAATGGCCAACTAAGCGACAATCATATAGTATATGTGGAAAGCTGGGCGAAGGAGCAACTGGTAATGTCAGTAGACTAGATAAACTAATCTAATGAAAGATAATTTTATTTTAAGGAATCGTGCATTGGGCAACATGTACAGGATGTTCAATGCGAAAACGTGTTGCGATTAAACGTATTCCTATAAAAGAATCTATGTATATTGATATTATACGTGAGATTCATGTTATGGCATCATGCTCACATGAAAATATTGTTCGATTTTTTACAAGCTTTGTTTATAAAACTGAACTATGGATTATCATGGATCTATTGGATGGTGGAAGTATAAGACAAATCATTGAAAAACGAATTCGAGATAAAAATGATTGGTATCTTGGTGTATTCGATGAATATGAAATAGCAACTGTTATGCGTGAAACTGTGAAGGGTCTTGAATATTTACGTAAACAACATTATTTCTCAGCTAAAGAAAAATTTTTTTTTTATTAATTGCAAAATTTAGATTCACAGCAATATATTCATCGAGATATAAAAGCCGGTAATATAATGTGTAAAATTGATGGTACAATTCAGTTAGTTGATTTTGGTGTTAGTGCCTTCATAACAGATTCTTCAACACGACAAAAAGCTATTGCTCATACATTTGTTGGAACACCTTATTGGTAATTATATCTTCTCGTACGAATCTTTTCTCCTATTATGGAAACATGAACAATTCAATATAGGATTGCACCCGAAATGTTTTCATCTGCGGGCTACGATAATAAAGTTGATATATGGGCTTTAGGCATTGTTGGTATAGAATGTGCTACAGGACATCCACCTTATTATAAAAAATCAGCACAAGAAGTATTTCGTATTCTATGTAAAGATACAAAAGGACCAACGGTTGATTCGAATGCCGAACGTGAAGGACAATATATGAAATATGATAATGGATTTCGTCATTTTCTTGATACGATATTAGAACCATCAGCAATGAAACGTCCCAGTGCATCGCATTTGCTACAAACAGATTTTTTAATGAAATTTGCTCAAGATAAAAAATTCATCGTGGAACATATGGTTTTAAAAATTCCATTCGATTGTATTGAACAACAAATTGATATTGATTTGCAATGTGATGATCTGAAAGATCGAATACAAACAATGAATAAAGAACGTGCTCTACAGAATGAAAATACAATTTTAGAGAACATCAGAAATTTTTTTCGGTAAATTACGATGATTTATAAATAGATTCTCATATGATATCTTCATTTTGATAGACCCATATCACAAAAAGTCATACAAGTAAATTTTAATATTCACAATTTTTGAATAAGGAAAAATAAAATCTATTTGAAAGGATATAGATCGACAATTAGATGCCAATCTTGATTCAAAAATGATAGTAAATCAAGAAATACCATTATCAATTAAATTGAAAATAAAAGAACCAGGGCGTTTAGCATTTTCATTAATTTCATTTAAATATCAATCGAGCATTGATCATCCAGTGAGTGTTGCACAAGAATTAGTGGCTGAAAATCATGTATATGGACATGATTATATATTAGTAGCTGCTAACATTGACAAGGCACTTTCATATAAAGGCAAAATTCGATTTACACTACATAAAATTGATGGTAAAGGTTTGATTAGTTACTTTAGAGATAGGATCTGTTCTTGTTGACCTTTTGTTTTTGCTTAATTAGTTTTGTGAGTTTATTTAGAAAAATATCCACCATCCTATGCAGAAGTTTCTGTTGAAGAAACATCTCAAACACTAACGAATAACAGTATTTTAACTAGTGATTTTCGTTCTACGGATTCAATTCGTCAGGAAAATAGTATTCATGAGGCAACAATAACGACGACCAGTACTAAAACAGATGATATCATTACATCAACAACTTTCACTTGAGGAAGTATTATACATCAATGCAAATGACCTTGTAGACGGCAAACAGTCAGTCATACGAGGATTTAATCATTAACAACATACATTGGACATATGCAAGTATAGTGTCGAAATATTTTGATTGACAATCTGACAAAGATGCATATATGGATAGAAACACTTACAAGTGTCAATAGCTGAAATTGTTTTTTTCTTTTTATGCCTCATTAAATACATTATTTATGTTATTTCAACTGTAACAAATGCAATATAGATCTATGATATTTTAAAGAGGGAATTCATCATTTTTATATTAGGCAGTTTTTCTAGGTCTTTACTGTCTACAGCGAATGTATTACAATGAAAAATCAGAAATACGGATATGTAATTACTTTATAAGCAATGTTGTTGATGCCTTTAGTCGACGAATCAATTAGACAAATTTTTATATCAGGAACGAGAAGAGCAGTGCGTACAATATGTATTTTCTTTGTTCTACAGTGTTATGGTCGAGGGCAAATTGAGTAGTATAAGATATGACGAATAAAAAAGAGCGTCCGTTGTTTCTCTTTCTTTCCTTCTTTTTTTCTTTAGTCATGCATATTTAGGCCCCAATCACACTGAGAAGTAAACTGACATTATAGTAGAATTAAGCCATGTGATTGGTGCATTACCCAGGTCGACAAATCCCACATCGAATCCGATAGGAAATTGATAGTGTCCTACCCTCTGACAGAATCGTATAGGATTCTGGGTCAAGGGATTGACGTCGGAACCCATTGAACTTCCAATGACATCCAACAATGTTTCTTTGGAATTCATAGGAATCCGACACTGAGGATCCAACTTCGAATCCGGAACCCAGAATCCGACGATAGGCCTGTAGGGTCCGATAAAATCCGATAAGATTCTACTGGATGCGAGTCGGATCGGATGGGTTCCGATAGGTGCCTACTCTTGGATTGGTCAACCTGGGTAAGAGTGGCGTAATCTTTTAGAGTTGATTTAACTCGTAATGCATCAATTAGATTCCTTAATGCGACTTTAACTTAATTCACATTTCGAGTGTGATTGGGATTGGGTCTTAATATCAACCTCTTGATTTATTAAGTATGACTATTGTCAAGCGTCAATATAGATCCATATACAGTAAATGACATTATTTTTCTTCGTTCTATAGAAAATAAACTTATCTAATTAGTCTACTTAGATGTGTTCACTAATTTATATTTCGTGTATTCTTTTTTGAAAAAAATGAATAATTCTTATGCATATATTCATAAATTATATTTATACAACATATTTCTATACAAGATCGACGGACTATTCTCATTCTAAGAAGATGATTGTCTGAAAACAACAATACTATGTAATAATGAATGCCAAGTTTTGTAAACCCAATTTGAGTCGAATCGAATCGAATGGCACTATGTCATTCATTTCGATCTCTGGTTGATATTTATTTTGTATGTGCAACTATACATACTACTAAGAATAGCTCTATAAATTCGAGAGAAAATTCATGCTCATGAAATTCTAGCCAATCAATTATTCCACAATCAAAAGTGTATAGTTATGTAAGTGAATGAGAATTTGAAGGATAATAAAGCTAACTGAGAGGAAAACGTATGAAACTGAACGATTAATTTGACAAACAGTCAAAGTTGCAAAGATTATTGAATTTTCTATGATTATTATTTCAAAAATAAATCAGAGCAGTTTGTAGAATCTGAGAAAATTTTTTGTTTCTCTCTCTCATAAGATTGACTATATATTCCTTTTGTTTTATTTTTTTTTTGGGCATGTTTTAGTGCTGGAACACGATAATAATCATTAAAAAAATATTCACTATTGATAATGCGAGAATTAAGTTTTCAAATTTTTTAAGATGGAATGCTTTTTATTTCTTGAATGTGTCATTCAGCAATTTTAATTCCTAGAATGCCAATACGGTGTAAATAAACAAGAAAAAAACGGAGTTTATGATGACTTTTTCGTTAATGATGAATGACGGTTGAGTCAGTGTATGAAATTGAATTTCACTGCTTTCTATTTCTATCCTTCAATTTACGATCTCATTGTTATTCTAATTGTTTGTCAAGTCTTTGTCTCATTCTAGGACTAATGCTATTCTTTCCTAAATTCTTAACAAAGCAGCTTTCAGTGGCAGAGTGTGAAATTGACGATGGATATAAACATAACACAGGGAGCGTGCGAAACTCGTTCGAGTCAGCTTGCTAATTACTAATAATAGAGACATTAGTCTTTTTTTCTTCGATGGTTTCCTGCTATATTTCTTTTTTAGATCTGGTCTCAAGCAGAACACATCGGCTAAATCCAGATTGTATTTCTGTCTTTTGTTTTCGAAGCCAGAGGACCTTTTCACAACACTAAGATGTCACCAGAAGAGACTGATGGGATATATTTAATGTATATACGAGCGAAAAGTCACTTATATACAAAAGATCGGCTCTGGCTCAAAAAGCACAAAATAGCGGCAAAATAGATCATGTCTATATTAACTGTTGACGTTTCATACTGATAAGAGTTCGTTTTATGTTCATGAAGAAAAAAAAAAGAAAAATTTCGAATTAGTCTTGTTATTTTCATGGTTAGTATGTAGGAACACATATAGATATATAGACTAACTTGTTAATATTGCAATTGTCGACGACTAATTAGAGTGCCCAAAACATGTTTTCTTTCCTGTTACTTCTTTTTCTCAAGATACATGTATTAATTTTTGTCAGTCGTGTACAAGAAGAGAGAGCGAGAAGAAAGAAAAATCGTATACTGTCATAAAACAAGCGATCTAGTGTATTTTTTAGAAAAATAAGAAGAATCACACATTATTTAACTATTCGAGTATTTTTTTTATTACATACATACATTTTATATCAAGCTACATCTGTAGCCTTTGATCTTAGATGATAACATCACATATTAGAAAATAATTTTAAATCTCGATTTTTCTTTTTCCGATGCCGAAAATAGATTAACCTGCAGATGCGTATTTCCTGTTATAACTGTGATAGTGAAAAACATTTTCAGACTGATTTTAATGAAGCACATATTCAATTATAAATTAGTACTCTTTGCTTTATGTTGAATATAGCTAATGTGCGCAGTATCTAGTATTCTTACTGGAATTTTCAATAATGACAGACACTCCCACAATGCGTAACTATTTTCTATCTAGAGAAGAATATCTTCGGTGAAAGCATTCGTGTGCTTGAGAATAACGAATATAAATCATGCGTTTTTCTATTCATCAGTGTGATTATATTTTGATTTTGTTATCGGTAGGAAATGATTTTTATTTTTACATACAAAAGAGAACCACTAAATAAATTTCAAGATTTTTTTCTTTGAACTGTTTTATCATCAGTGTATACCTATTCGTCAATCTGACTGAGAAATATTATATATATATATATATTTATATGATAGAAAAAGAAAAGGTAAGTTAGAAAAAAAAACTGACGGAAGTATTAATTCTACATTTGCATCAATGGCTTTCAAAATGAACGAAGTGTTTGTCATTTTCCCGTTCTACATACTAGCTCACCAATGAAATAACAAGTGAAACAATGACAACAACAGAAACTACGCAAATTACAGAGCAGAAAAATGGATAGTTTTTTTTTTTATTGATATGTCTTTTGGAGAGCAAAAATCTAGATGATTGAATGAATGAATGAATGCTCATGACATGCTATGATTACTTACAAAAATAGACGACCGTATTTGATTCATTAGAAGAATATAAACGACAATAGTCAGCAATAAATCGATATTTTTGTTTGTATGTGCGTGCTTGTAAGTCATTCGTTGTATTATACAGACTCTTGTAGTGTTTTATTATTGTTTTTGATATATGTGAGAAACAACGGCAATGACGGCAATTTTAGATACACAGCACAAGTCGTATTGTATTCGCAACATTATTATCCCTATCGTCATCATCGTCATCGTAGAGGTGATGAGGATCATGACGATAATGATAATGATAATGATCATCATTATCGATATCATCAGTCATGTAACAAATTGTTCTAACGATTACGTTCTCGATGTGTATCAGATTTCAGCATTGAATTGACTGGCTGATATTAGTCGAACAGTTGACATATTCTATGTGCTCTTGTCTTAATCTTTATACAATTCTGTTCTATAAACTACTGATTGTCATAAGTGTTAGATACACATCAAATCCAATCTTTAACTGGTAACTTGGAACTAATGTATGTCTACTGCAATGACAAGTGCATACTCAAAAATACTCGTCATTTTCGTTATTGTGTTTTCACATATGGCATCATTTTTTTGACAATAGTTACATGCATCTTGCGTCTTGTCGGTTCGTTTTCAAATCTATTGCAGATAGAGATAAAAAGAATACTGATAAACTGATTACCGTAATTATCCTATTGTTGAAATATCTAAACATTTTTTCTTAGTTTTTTGTGACGATTTGTGTTTCATTTTTTTTTCTTTGCTTCCATTCACAAAACAAATACATTAGATATTCTTCATTTCTCGTCGACTTTTGTTTTACATTGAACTCACAGAAGTATATTCATGAAAAGATTTTCGTTTATTCAATGATTGAAAATAGTCTTTTTCTTTCTGCTTTGCTTTCATCATTCCGATATTAAACTCGTAGCTACCAAGACAATGGTTGACGATAATGGCATAGATGCGATTGAGTTTCGCATCTTCTTGTTTCTTTCTGTTTTTTACTCGTTGTATATTTCCTCACTGAAAATCTACATTCGCTGAAATATAGATAGAAATACAGAATGAAGCCGAAAGAGAAAGAAGAACAGGTCTATCGCTACTACTAAAGAAAATCCGAAATATTTATAGAGAGACAGAAAGACGAGAAAGAGTGAGAAGTGAATCTATCTTCTTTTCTTTTACTTGAAAATAACTGAACTAAATCTTTCATGGACAATATTTCTTCTATTCTTTTCCCCTCTATTTTCTACAATAGAATCGAGTGACATAAAGTAAGCTTTTAATTCAGCTTGTCAGTTAACTTGCGTGCATTTTGTAACGCCTAGTTATATTCTTTTCGCTTTTCTTTTCAATAATTTAGTTCATATCTTCTATAATAAATTACAATGGGTATCTATAATATAATTTTGTTAAAGATTTCTTTTTACTAGTATCTCAATCATATATTGAACTTCTCCTTCTGTAAGTTTTCTTCTTTCATAAGATACAAGAAAAGAAAGCTGTCTAGAATCATCGTTTATGTTTATGCTGTCTGGAAAGTAGTTTTTTCATGCAATGTCATTTCCGTTTGATTATTTTCTTCTGCTTGATCGAGTAGAAGCGATCAGTATTCGATAACATGAATTCAAAGAGTATACTCCTTTATTTTTTTCCCAAACGTTTTCCCTCCTTTAACTTTATGTCATAATAATAAGAACTTTGTAACGGGACAAGGATGAATAATCTATACGAACTAACCGATCATATTTCAAATTAGAATAAATTATTGAATTCCTTTTTACTTTTGTAGATTCATCAAAACGGTATGCTGGAAAAAGAACGATGTATTACTCCTCTTCTTTTTCTTCTTCTTCTTCTTCTACTAATATAGCATCATCAAGTGGACGTGCTTCATTAATAGATTCGGATTCAAAATTTTCAACTCCATTGTCATTATTTGATGACAATTTAACATTAAACATTACGTTTGCATCATCATTTTTTAGAACTGAACAAACAGCCTTACAAGATACAAATCCATCGTGTACTCTAATAAAATATGAATATATTACACAAAAAACTTTATTTAACATAGTGCGTTATATTTCACAAAATTTAAATCGATTTTTCATATTACCAGCTATTATCTTAAATCTATGTGCTTTTTACATATTACGACGTACACGTATGAATCGTTCATCGTCAATAGCTTTTTATATGCAAGCATTGGCATTATGTGACGTTGCTTTTTTTGCTCTACGTGTTATGTTTGGTGAACTATCAAGTTCAACAACTGGCAAACATATCTTAACAACTGGTCTATGTAAATTTCTTTTTCTTATGGTCAACGCAGTGAACTATACAACTGGTGAGTTTCTCTATTCAAATAAATACTGTCAAACTTCCGGAAGTAAAAAAAACAAGAACAAATGCAATAACAGCTACGCTGATAAATAGAGTGATTTTTCTTCTTCAGTAATTGTGCTGGTTTACACATAAATTATTGTTAAATCGAGATCTTGAATCGTCAAAAATATGTTCGCTTGAGACACATAAAAATGGATATTATTATTATTTATTTATTTATCTATCATCTTTTGTTTTAGTATGGCTTATTGCTGCTATGAATGCAGATAAGTTTCTTGCCGTTTGCTTACCTTTACGTGTCTCAGATCTTTTATCACGAAAAAAGGCGTATGCCGTAGTTCTCGCTGTAATAATTTGTTCAATGCTTGTTGCATCCGTACATGCCAGTCGAACTGTTTTGAAAAACAATGCATATTGTTGGCTAGAAACGTCACAAGATGAAAAACTTGTTTTTATACTTGATGCATTTTTTTGGTGCTTTGTTCCATTTTTTGTTATATCAGTATTAAATGCTGCTATATTTGTTGCCTTATTAAGAGCACGTCGTGAAGCATCATGCTTACATGAACCAACTAGTTCTTCAAATACAGTACCTATGTTAAGAGCAACAATCAATGGTCGAGCAGCAAAAACAACAGCAAGTACTTATCGTAAAGCATCAGCTAATTTGTCATCTACAAATCAATTTCGTGCATTAGGTACGCATCCTTCACCAACCGCTCGTACTCGTATGCAATCACAAAATCTTCAAATAACCATTATGCTTATAACGATATCAATATCATTTTTTGTTTTAACATTACCAAATGTTATTTACTATTTGCTCATATTTTTACGTGTCTTAATTGAAAGTTGGAAAGCTGTTAAATGTGACGTTAATGTTTATCATAATCTTGATGTATACGTACGAACATCAGCTATTATGTATCTTATATCAAATATTACATCAGATTTAATGCATGTGGTCAATTTTTTCCTATATTTTATTAGTGGTGCAAGATTTCGTACTGAATTTCGTCGTTTAATATTTTATCAGTTATGCCGATGGTGTTCTAAAGGAAAAGATTCAACTAATGGAAAAGATATAACGCGTAATGAACGTTCATTTGTAGGAACGAGTGGCGTAGCGACCGTACGAACACTGGCATCATTGCCAGGAAGTGGAGTTAAACAACAAAGTACGTCAAATACCAATTGTGCAACGACAATTAAAGATAAGCAGAACCCAAAACATGATGTAGCACATCTATCTTTAACTTCGAATGTTGCGCTCGACGGTAGCGTATCAAGTGTACTTGAAGGAAAAACTTGATGCAATCACAATGTTGCTATAGTCATAATTAATAGTGGGGGCCAAAATGACAGAAAATAAAAGCAATAGTCAGTTTGCACAAGAAAAAAAAACTTTATATTTCAGTTTATTTTTCTTAATATCTCTTATTTTATTTTGTGGTCTTCCTTATTTAATGTACACATTGTCGCATGTATCATTGAACAAAGAACTCAAATATAAGACTGCTCTATCAGTCTTGCATTTGAAAAAAACTAAAGTAAATGTATAAAATATATATGTATGGTGCATCATCTGAAATGAAAAGATAAGAGATATGTATAATAGATAAAAATCTGTGACAACTGTCGACAGTATGAAAACGTATTATTTGATCAAAGGTTCGTTATTTTTTGTCAATTGAGGAAATTTTTATTCTATAAATATTTACAAAAAATAAAGTTTACATTTGAATTAGTTCATTATCATTGGGTCTTAGAGTCACAAATGACTATCATTTTTCTGATTAAGATAAATTGAAATTTTCATAAAATGTATATTTAGAAAAAAAAATTTTTCTTTTTCATATATAGTATAGATATTAAAATTTACTATTTTATTCTGTGTTAATTGAAATAAATATTCTATAAATAGGTTTGATATGTATTCTGCATTTAGTCAACAGAAAACAGGTGTCACTGTTTTTCTTCGTTCAATTGCTTCATGTTTTCTGTTACACATTAGAAATTCCATTTATTTCTGTAAAATTTCATGAATATTTTATCGGCATTTTATTACCTTTAACGAACAAATAAATTGTTGATAATGATTCAAACATAATTTATTTATAACGTAAGCAAGGTCATTTATTATAAAAAAATCTTTCATTGATTGAATATAGGAAATAGATTAATTATGCTTCCGATGAATAACCTTGACAGATCATATTTCATTCGAATAATTAATTGTTCCAAATGTTGATTTTATGATTATTGAAGCATTTATTGTCTCCGTAGTATTTTTAGAACAGTCATGCGATAAAAGTACCAAATCACAAAAAAATGAAACGGCTATATGTCTCTTTAAAATGAGCAAAATTAATTATTCTCTTTGAAATAATACTTATTTTTTTACTCGAGCGCAAAATTTAAATAATCATTAAATGTCAATGATTAATACATGATAAGAATCTTGAATTATATCAAAGAGAGTACTAATTTTAATAAAAACTATTAAATTTCATGTCGACAGTTTTACTATTTTACACTCTTCTTCAAGTTTTCTTTTTTTTTCTTCTGCGTAACCAAATATTATGTTGACCTTGTGAATAACGAAAACGTTTGAGTATTTTCATGAAAACAATTTTGTAGAAAATTGTATGCAGAATATCATATAGATACATTAATAAAAAAAATTTTCTACTTAAATATTGTTTTTTTTTTATCATTAAGTGGATAATAAACTTTTAAACAGTATAAAAGTTTTTTTGCGGATTCTGACGATAATTTATCGACAATCATCGATAAATCTATGCATATATGTGTGTGTACCTTTAGCCGTCATCGCATTCTTTTAAAGCAAACATTTACGTCGTCGGATTCTTTCACAAACGCACACTACAACTCGTAAATATGCCAAGGAAGGTTGGAAATATTCTTCTTAATGTTGAAGGACGATATTTCCAAGTCGATCGACACTTACTTGCATCCCAGAGCATTTACTTTCGTGTTCTTTTTCGTAGTAAATCAAAACGAGATAAACACGGCGCAATACTGATACCTGGAAATGCAGACCGATTCGGTTTAATAATTGATTATTTGACTGGAGAATATCAATTAACAAATGGTCAACTTGAATCCATAATTGCTGATGGTGCAACACTCTATAATATACCATCACTTGTTTATCTTTCTCAATTTAAAACTAAATATGAAGCACGAGACAAACAACGTGTTCAAGAAGTTCAACGAACTATGCAAAAAATGGATAAATTAAATAGAGAACTGACGAATTTAGAAGCATATATTGATCATATCCGACGAGAACAAAACTATTAATTAATCCTACTAACGAATTTTAATATTAAATTTATTAAAATAACTGTTTTTTTTTGTCCAATGGATTTTCTTTCTGTATAATAAAATATGAACGGTCTGAATCTATAATTTAAAACTTTTACTATGAAGACTATTTAAAAACAATAAGTAAATCAAACCATTCGATATGGTGGGTAGTGACATCTATAAAAATATGAATTTGTTTTTAAAATAATCATAGTTTTTTTCCTAATAACACTAATGCCAATCTAGAACAATAATTCATTCTAATCTATAGAGCTATTTCAATTTTCAATATTGTGGCTGTTCACAAGGAATCGAAAATTTAAAACATAAAAAATGGATGTCAAGTGGTTGCCGTAGTAGTAATAGTAGTAGTGTATCTATCCTACAAAACATTCACTTGATTGTTTGCATGAAAATTTGACAATTCATTATTATTTATATAGAATTATAGATATAAATATAGACATAAACAATTATTTATTCGTAGACAAATCTATTCATCTATTTCAAAAGATAAATACGATGGTCAAAGGTGCCAAACCTACATCATCAGCTGCCCCTGCTAAAACAGCTGCATCTGCTACAGTAGGCAAAGGAGGCAAACCTCGACAGCAAGATGAAAAAGCAATTGATGAAACTGTGAGTCATCATTTTTGATAATCCCATTTGAAACTAAGAGAAACACTAGAAAAAATGTTAGTTTTATTTTCATTTATTAAAAATGAATAAACGAAAAAGTTTTGCTAGTGGTATCTCTATTAAAGTTGGTCCCGATGCACCATCAGAACCCACAAACTCTGTATATATATATACTTTTCTTGTTTCGTTTTTTCTTTCTAAAACTATTAATTATTAAAATTTCTTATGTGTATAGTTCGAGCCATTGAAACTTGATATCAAAGGTGCTCAAACAGCTGTTGTATGTTTACGAAGTGCAGAAGATAGTGTTTTAATCCGAGCATGTGATGCTTTATTTAAATATGCTGAAAAGAGTGATGCAAATAAATTAATGTTACATGAGATGGGCGCAACTGATACGTTATTTACATTAACTCATCATGAAAATCAAACTGTACAACGAAATGCAACAATGGTCTTTGGATTACTATCTGCTCATCGTAAGGTTTTTCTTTGATAAAAAAAGAAAGAAAAATTGATCCAGTATTTATTTTCTTTAGCGGATATCCGACGACATCTTCGTAAAATCGATTGTATTCCACATATGATTTCACTTTTAACACCTGAAAGTAAGCTTTAATTTACTTTTTACTTTTAACTATCTACTAAATTGAAATATAGATGAACCATTAACAAATGAATTTGCTGTTTATTGGCTTCGTTATATGTGTAGTGATTATTCAACGAAATCTCAAGTACTTTCATTAAATGTTCTTCAACCATTAATAAGATTAATTAGTGAAGCGGATCCCGATATTAAATTTAATTCTCTATCAACAATCGATCATATACTTGATGATTTTCATGCACGAAGTCTTGTTCGAGAATTAAATGGTATCGAACCAATATTAAATAATCTTAAATCAGAATTTCCGCAAATAACCGAAACTGTTTGTAATTGTTTACAAAAATTAGCAACTGATCCATTTAATCGTGCAGTTATCAGAGATATTGGTGGACTAGATAAAATGATCGATTTCATTGGTTTAGATGAAACAAAAGATGTTCATGTTCATTGCTTGAATGCTTTAGCAAATCTTTTAGAAGATACCGAATGCCTTGATGTTCGTTTGCATGAATTTTAATTAAGCAATTTTCTCTATCGTATTCGTTTTTCATAATTTTAGCTTATTCAATCAAATGGTGGACTTAAACGATTGATGCAATTCGTACAAGACAGTGTTGTACCAGCTGTACAAGCAGCTGCAGCTAAAGCTATTGGACGTGCTGCTCGAAAACGTAATAAAATACATAATTGAAACCTGAATTTTTGAGAAGACAAAAAAACTATCCAATACTATCTTTAGGATTAAATACTGGACCAGAACGTAGGTTGAGATATAGACTAAATAAACAAAATGCTAAACCCCAAAAATTAAGAATACACAAGATTGAGAAAAACAAAGCAAAACACACTTTTCTTTTGTTTATTTCACAAGCACTTGATTGAATTTTGTTTTCTATTTGTGCAGAATTTAAAAAAACCTCAAAATTCTTCCTTGTATTTTCAGCGCAAAATCGAAAAATTTTTGCAGAACAAGATGCTGAACGTGCTATGGTATTTCTTTTACTTAGTGAAAATGATGATGTACGCATAGCAGCATGTCAAGCATTGGCGGTCATGGCTGAAAGCATGCTAAGCCGTGAAACTATTCGAAATAACGGTTTGTTCATTTACTTTTTTCATTTCGTTTTATTTTTCGTTAATTGTTATGCGTGAATATATAGATGGTATTTTAACACTTGTACAAATGATGCAAAAAGAAAATCCACGTTTACGCGAATTTTCTACATTGGCTATGTCGAATTTAACACAAAGTAATCCAAATAATATTAGGTATGTTATTCAAGACGAAGATTGAATGACAGCTTCTTAAGGTGGAAAGAAAACGAATTGTGCTGACAAAATATTGTATTGTAATGAAATCATATGTTTTTGATCAAAAGTTTGATGGCATTTTCTATAATATATTCTGCCCTATGATTCATCTGTCGGATTGTTACGGCTAAAAAATGTTTGCGATGCCATTTATAGTTCAGACGATACAATCGATATTGAATCGAATCTATTGATTGTGTCTCACTTTGAAAATTTAATTAATAGGTTTCGAATGATTTTTTCCTTGAAACTGTTGTCAATTATTTGTATGGCAAAGGTTTTTTTTTCATAAACATACGCAGTTTTTATTTCAACAAAAGAATGTTTCAGGCAAAATCTTTCATCCGTATAATATTGGAAAAAAAACAATATTAAACATCTGTGTCAAGGGTTTAATCATTCAATATTTAATGTTCATTTTTCTAAGAAATTCATCAATGATACACAATTATATTCTATGAAAAATAGATCTAGTATTTTGTTCGCGTGATAGTCAGTTGTAGTATAGAATGCGTAGATATATATATATATGTAACTATTTGATTATAATCATAGGGAATTACAAGATCAAGCAGGTCTTGACGTATTAATTGGTTTATTGAACGATGAAAAAGATACAACAAAAGCATATGCATGCGTCACATTGGCAAATTGTTCAACTGATCAAGTTGTGCGCACCAATATATTGGAGAAAGGTCTTATCAAAAATCTTCTTGCACCATTACAAGCAAGGTATGGAATCGAATGTTGATTTGTGACTCTGCAAAAAATTGAAGAACAGGATTGATTAGAATCGACATCAAGAAAGTGGAAATCGATAGATCTTGAATAAAATAGTCGAAGTAGAAAATTCGATAGACTTTTCTAATGACTTTTGGCTATATTGTGCCGGAAAAATCTGAGAACTTGCCGATCTAAAAAATTTGCTTCAAGTGCCATCGGTTTCCGGTGATTTTCTATCGAAATCAGCCCTGTAGTTTTTTTTTAAGCGAAGATTTGTTTTGCTTGTAAAAATAAAATTTATTTTAGTTATGAATTAGCACAAGCAAAGGGTGCTATGGTTTTATCAGCTTTTAGTATCGATCAAAAAGCTCGCGAAGATGTAAGTTCTTTTGAAAACAATTTCAGCATCTACTTTATTCTCTATTTATTTATTAGATATTAAAAAATCAAGCTATTATTCCCCATCTTGTTAGCTTATTAAAATCAAATCATGATGAAGTTCGTCGTAATACCTGTTTTGCTATCACTGTTCTTTGTGTAGAACAAACTATAGCTATTGAAATTCTTCGTAATGGGTATTAAAATGCTTATTATTTTTTCGTTTTGTTTTGTTTTACTAATTAAAGGTTGATCTTTTAGAGCACTCGAAATAATACGTGATTTAAATACATCTGAATCACGTAAGAGTAAATTTACGGAAATGGCCTTACAAAAGATTCTTGATAGTCATTTATCAGCAAAATATTCTTATCTGGGACAATTAGGTTCGATTGATGGATTGTTGAAATAAAATCAAAAATTTCGACTTTTTTTTCTTTTTCAAGAGAATAATAATATTACAACCGATGGATTCTATGATATGGGACCAGTTCGAGAAGGAGGAAAATTTTTAACTATTGAAGAACTTGCAGCCGAAGAAGTAAATGATCGTCGACCAATTTTACTTGTATATGCACCTGAAAAAAAGTAAGGAAATACATTTTTTTCTTGTCTCGATTGACATTATTTACATAAAAACAAAAAAACACACTGTACCGCATCCCAAAAATTTTGTTTTGCACACGATCAATGTTGTATCACTTATAGAACTAAAATCGTTATTGTTACACCTACAGAAACTGGATCGTAAGTATTGTTCATTTAGAGAAACTATTTATTTGTATATGGCATGTCTCTTTTCTCAATCTTTTTCTCTTAAACATTTTATTCACACATGTTTTTACATCACTGTTAATATGTGTGAGTTTGTGTGTTTGTTTTTTGTTCAGTGTCACTTCATGGTCTGCTACTACAGGAGGATCTTATGGCGATGATATCTATCGAGTGCCATCTTCTTCTGATGATATTCTTTCTACATCAGCAACGCCGGTGTAGGTTTTGTTTTCTTCTCATTTGGATTCTTCGTCTTGTTTTATGAACAATTTTTTATCATCGAATAATTCATTTTAATATAGGAAAGGTTCGGAAAGCAAAGAAAAACTAAGTACTGGAGTAAGCGGACGTAATGCAAAAACACCGAAATCATCGAGTAAAGAGAAAGAAGGGAAAACGTAAGTTCCACTTTTTTTTATCGCTTAACGATGTAGTCCGACAAGCTTTATCTAATATTCAGCTCAGTAGATCAATCCAGGTAGGAAATTGGATTTAGAATTGAAAATTAATATGCTTTAATAACGTACTTATGCATAGCTTTTGTTTTCTCTGCACTCCTTCATTTGCGTTTTGTGTTTTTTGCTTGTTGATTTTAATTTAATTTCGTATAAATTTGATATCTTGATTTTAGTCGCGCAAAGAAAGATAAAACAAGTGATAAACGAGATTCATCTGAAGACAAAAAGCATGGTGAACGAGAATCATCAGAAACAACTGCTGATTTGGTAGATCGTTTGATTTTCTTTTTCTTTTTTTTGGAAATTTTGTTTGTTTTTGCTATATAGAAATCAGGTTACAAACAAACGATTGATCAAGATTTTCAAATGTATCTTGATGAAATTCATCCTCAAATTTTGAGAGTACCATTGTCAGAACAAATATCGACTTTAGCAAGGTAAAGTGTAATTCAGTTTTCTACAATATTATAATTTTATTTTTTCAACAAATAGATTTGTCAGTGAGAAAATGGGTGGTACAATATCACCGGATGATGTAGCGACGTTTGGATACGAAGTTGCAATGAATCAATTGAAAGCTGAACTTCATTCAAATGTTGTACCGATTGGTCGAGTACGAAAAGGTATTCATGCTCAACGAGCATTTCTATTCAAAGTAAATACATACAAAAAAAGCCCGTAGAAAATAGTTTTAAAAAAGCAAAATTTTATAGTCGTTAGCTGATCGAATTGGAATACCATGTACATTAACACGTGGCAATTATAATCGTGCTTGGAATGAAGTTGTTGTTGGCGAATCGTCTGGGGTATGCTATCTGCTTAAAGATCATAATTATGTTCATTGATTTTTTAACATACCTTTGATATAGTATGATGAGAAGTTTAGTTTATCTGTAAATTCAAATAATTTCGTTTTAATTTTTTATTTACAAAACAAATTCTTTTCAATTTAGATAGAAGATTTTCGATTACATAAGCTTCAAAAAGATTCTAATCAAATATCGATTGATTACCAAAATTCAATTGATAAGTCGACAAAATATAATCCCTTCGATGATGAATCTATTGAACACATTCGTGAATCGTTAAGAAAATTAGAACAAACATATTTGAAAACTAATAACAAACAGATTTTAGTTAGTGATGGAGGAAAATTTACTATTATTGAAATTATTATTTATTCTATAGATAGAAAAACAAATACTAAATGAGAAACCTATAGTATTTGTATGCCAATTGCATGTTTATTTGAATTTTGATTGCATGTTTATTTGAATTTTGCTCATTAGTTTTGTTTGTAATAATTTCATACAGCTTATATATTAAAGATTATTTTTGTATTTTAGGGTGTTCGATATCCAGCTAAAACATGGATTGTCGATTTACTTCATGAACCAGGTCGACTAATTCTTGCCAATTCGTCTGATGCTCGCTCTTATACAATACTCAATTAAAACAAAAATGACTCACAAGATTTAAAATACATCCGGTGGATATCATATTTTGAATCTACCACATTTTTTCTTTCTTTCTTTCTTTCTTGCTCATGACTAATTTGTTCAATTTTTGATTTGTACGACTTTCGGAAAAAATACAGTGATTTTTACATGCGCACAACCAAACGCGTCATGCTATTGAAAAGAACCCTACATATATTTATTTAAACGAGTTTTATTTTAACTTATATTATTGTTTGTAAGCTGTTTTATTTCTCTATCTTTATTGTTATGATATTATTGTTTTAGGACAAATGAAATCTAATATGATTATCTTGAATATCGAGTTAGTCAATGTCAAGAATTCATTCGTCACTTTATTATCCTTTTGAAATATAGAAACATATATTCTAACGATTCAATTTTATAAAACAAGTGGAAAAATTAATTTAATTCTTTATCTTCTTAAAAATTTAATTGAAATCTTCAAACGAATCTTTGCGATTATTCAATCTATCCAATACAAATTAAAATACTAACAACTATTTCACATCAACGTAGATTCGGTGTCTTTTATTTTTTTTGAGAAACAATAATTGATAATAACATAATGAAATTCTATTTTCTGATTGAAAATTTGAAATAGTAGACAATGTTTGTTTTCATATTTTATTTTTATCGCTAATTCGAACGAATAAATCCCCATTTGAATATGATCACAGACATTCATTATGTTTTCTTTTTTTTAATATATTCATTCTCTTAATCTGTCCTATGCTTGTGGTAGCAGCTTGTGTTAAGCACCTATTTATTTTTTGTTTTCTTTTCCATATAATAAAACTGCTGTAAGAATTATCATTTGCTATACGCTCTATTTTGTGATAAAAGAAGCACCATGAAAATTTAATTTAACTACTCTAATATTTTATTTCTCTGTGGATTTGATACCAGCTCGTCAATCGCTCAATTTCCAATTGAATCATCAATCAAAGCAAACATCTAATTCATCAAGTCATTATCAGGCAAATTTTCCAAATCTACGAGCCTTTAATAGATACCAACGTGAAGTTATTATTGTCTCTAGTAAGAATTATATAAGTAATTCACCAGCATGAAATCTTTTCAATCGGTCAAAACAAGTAATTCGTAATAATACGTTTCCTTATTATCACGTTATTCATACTATGAATGAATAAGAAAAGTAACCAGATTGATCATAAAAATCAATTCCGAAACAATCCATATCAACAAGAACAACGACGACACCGATTTCTCAATAAGCATGGGACTCTCCATCTAATTCATGGTCCCAACAATAACAACACATATTCACGTATGATTCGTCCAAGGTTACAGTGTCTACTCTTTTCACTGCTAAAAAACATTCAACAGCTGTTAACTCATTGGGGCGTCATGGTCTTTCTCAAGTTTCACCGTTAGAATCGATTGCTGTTAATACAAAACGTAATAATTGATCGATTATGAAAAATAAGATTCAGCCATTTCAACAGCGATCAATGATTAAGAAAAAATGCGCAAAATTACAAAACACAAATTCTATCGACTTTTTACAACGGAAGCAATCGAAAATAATCGTTATCAATATCGAAAACGCTTCTTGGACAATTTCTATCATCAAAAACGATTCAGAGCATTTTATCAAAATCAAAATGAAAAAAATCCTAAATATATTCATTCCAATATTAACTCACCTTTGAAACAAGGACACAAACACTAATAATACTTGATCAAAAATATTTCAGTCTCGGGTTTTCGTACGCAAAAGAATTTTGAATCAGGGACATGCCAATTGGTATAAACATGAAAACAAATTTTCTTCGCACACATTCTTAGTTGTAGTCTATTTCTTTATAAATATTCTTTTTTTAAATTATCTGAAAAATAAACTGTGTGGTTGTGAAAGCACTTTAAATCGAATATTTATTTTAAACGAGAAAATGAATAAAATTTGCACTATATTCATCTTAGTTTTCTTTTTTCATTAAGATATTATTTCAACATCTTCAATATTCAAATGTACAAGTCGAATTTTTTCACTGTTTATTTTTATCGACTTAAAACAACAATCTATTGAAAACCCAAATAAAGCCACGTTTTTTTGTTTATTATACAATGTACCTTGAAACATCACAGTAAAAACAACAGATAACGACCAAAAACAAAACAAATTGCTTAAGTTATTTTTGAAAAAAGTTCAACTGCTGAATATACACTTAGATACAAAAATAGGAATTCAACTCAGACTTAAACTATATTAAGTATCTTGTGATTGAAATGGTTGACTACTAGTTGATCGGAGATGTTCGCTTGATGAAAATCGTAAGAGTTCGAATTTACAATGATAGATAATCTAATATTTTCTTTGACGTTTTGAATAGAACATTTCGTTATTGATATTCATCTGTTGTCCATCATCAATTAAAAGTTGATCGACATGTACTCTTAATTGATGATTATGATGACGTAGTTCATTTAATTCAATAGAACGTGCTTTTAAATCAAGTCGGCATTGATCATAATCATGTTTCAATAATGCCAGATTATTACCTATTGCTTCATGTTGAGCATGTAAATGTGCATAATCATGTTCACGCATATTTAATCTATTTTCAATTAATTGCCGTTTTTTTCGTTCTAGCAATAATTCACGAATTAACGTTTGAACAATAGGTGGATGTTTTTCAGCATCATGAATAATTTCATTAATCGTCGTAGCCAGAACAGGTGGATGAAAATAAGAATATTGTCTATTTGGTTGAACTAAATAAAAACTGAAATTTTTTCATTATGATTTACAGAATAATACTCACTAGAATAATGATGACATTCGTGAAAATCAGCTTGTTTATCATAACCTGTTGATCGATGATTATTTCGATCTTGCTGTGAGTCTCGATTATGTACAAGTGAGCGCGATTGATGTCGTCGACGTTTATGATGACAATGAGACATTATCTAGAAGTACGAAAATGAATTATATCTCTTCCTTTAATATATTCATATTGCCAATAATTCTTTTTCTCATTTGTTGAGAATCTATCGTATCGTATTTATATATTTATATATATATATACCAGCTTTAAATTTTATATAGGATCTCGAAGTAGAATTGCAACAGTTCCGGATCTGGTGCTATTAGGAAATTTTTTTTTAAAATCAGTTTCGTCTGTAAATAGATAGGAGATTGATGTGTCTTTTTTTTCTAAAACAAATTCTTATATTTTGACAACTTCAATGGTTATAGATTAACTAACGAACACAATTTTACTGCTGTTTACCTTCATAAGCTTCAAGAAAAATTGGCTACAACTTTGAAATGTTGATATCAACATATAGCATATAAAAAGTGGCTGCAATTATTCAAAGACTTGTTGTATTGTCGACGATACTTGAATACTCTTGAACATAAATAGAAATGTTACTGTTAAGCAACTGATAGATTTTCTTCTAGTTGATATTTGTATATTAGTTCTTTCTATGTTGTTATCTTGAATGTGTTATGGTATAGAATGCAAATTGTTTCATGAAAGTAGTTATTTATTTAATTCTTTTAGAATATAAACTTCCTTTTCTTTTTGCAAGAGTATGATATCTTTTTACACTGAAAAAACTTTTTGAAGTTTTTCTTAGTTTTAATTGCACTCAAAAAAAAAACTTATTTTCCCACTGTTTGGAATCTAGCGTTGAGGTCAACGCGTCTTTTTTTCTACGTGATACAATTACTCATACACATGATTTCATTGATTTATTGATTTAAGATAAGTATAATATAATTTGGTAGGCAAGATTAAGATAGCCAGTGAGAGTAGATTAAGCATACAAAGCAAAAACAAACACAAGAACTCTTGCATAACAATATTTTATTCAATCTACTACCTAATTGGAAACATTTGTATTATTAATCTGAATTGAAAATGTAATTTCTTCTTATTCTTCTTGTAAAATATTCTTCAGAACGAAGTTTGATAGAAAGAAAAAAAATTTTCTCATATTTTTTTATGCTCTATTGTTTGTATCGTTGGTAAACAGAATTATTTTTTCATGTTATATGTACTCTTTTGTTTAAGTTCTCTTCGCTTTAATTATCGTTTGCTGTCGAAAACATGGCATCTATTGGGAAATGTAAGGTTTCATGTGAATACAACAATCGTTATTATTTTCATCATTTCAACGCAAAGAATCATAAAAACGAACAAATCACTAGTGAACTATATTTGGACGCATCATTTTAGTAATAAATGTTAAATTTGTAACATTGAAATAAAAAAAAACGTGATCTAGTCAAAATAGTTGATATCAGCAATTAAATAAATTCTCTATTCTCAACCAAATCACAAGAAGTAAATGCTCTTAAAATTATAAAGGATATTCGCCAACTCTTTCTAGATTGGTAGTAATAGCAATATCAAAAATATCCGTTGATTATTTGATACACATAAAATCCACTTTTAAAAGTCACTCTATAGAAAATCATAAACCCTGAGTTATAGTAAAATGTATTCCAAGGATAGGGAAGAGTTCTCATTGCAAAGACACTTGGCACAACAAAAACAATTTCGACTAAGCAAAAACCAAACCGGTGTATATTATATTCTTAATAGAATTACAACTAGAGATTAATTATTTCCAAGGAAGTACCAATATACAATTTTGAAGAGAGAACATAGAAAAAAAACATCAAATTATAGGGTGTGATGCGATACCTAACAAAATACCGACACATACTTGACACAGAAGAAAGAAATCAGATCCATGCGTATGTTTTGGTACTAGTAACGAATATTTTTATGATATTTTAAAGAAGTTTTCTTCCAAGTTTTAAGTTAGATAGTTTTTGGGGTGCAGACAGTTAATAGTCTAAATTGAATATTTTATTAGCTGCTAGCAGGGCTAGCATTGTATTTTAAACCTTAATTTTATTTAGACATCTTAACGTCAATTACCCGAGTATCTGAATTGACTAGATCTAAATTCAAAAATACAACTGTGACTAGATCACAAAAATGCATACGACAATAAACTCACAGACATAACTTTTATTTTTGTAAATAGTTGTTATCAATTTTACTCAGAAAATAATGGTAACGATTCTCGAACTCCAATATTTTCATTCGAAAATTAATATAGTAGAAATAAATTATAATCAAGTGAATACTTAAGCTACGTTAAGTTATGTCCGATAGAAGGAAAAGATTCGTGTCTAATAGCAAAAACTTAGCCATGCTTGTCCAATAATCGAACTTATGTAGATGTCTCTGAATATTATTCATAATCAAACATGCCACTGGTGGTTGCTAAGAAAACCACGTTGAGTTACAAGCGAAGCAAGATGGTAATAGGCTATTTTGCTTTACATTGCTGGAATGTCAATCCATTTCTTAGATGTATGTAAATGCAGTGATTAGGAAACTTTTAAAGTTTAATTTTTCTAGAAATCGATTTTGAAAAATAACTTTTCGCACAACGTTATGAAATGAAAATTGACGTCTCATTTATTTCGTTGTATAGAGAAATACGAGATTGTTTGAAAAAGATACTCTATAGTATATTCGAGTGTTGACTAAGCAAACAATCTTCATAATTTTATAATTCATTTCTTTTTTATGAACAATAATACAAGAAATGATGTGAACCTTTGAAATATTAACTTTCATCTCTCTCTCTCTCTCTCTTTTTTTAACTTATTTTCTGTTCAAGTGAAAATGTTGTTTGATTAAATGACCATAGATTTTTTTTGTTCTTTCCTCTAGAAACCGTCAATCAATTTTAATTGAGAAGGAAGTTTTCTTTTTTTTCTCTTATATGAAACGAGCACATTTATCAAGTGTTCTTTTTCATATCAATCATTCTTTTTGTTGCGTCACAAAATGAACAAAAATACTGTGAAGATGATGTAAGTGAGATGTTTCCTTCTCTTTGTTTTCATCTATGAAAAACAAAGAAGTTATCAGTTCATAATCTTCTGGATTCAAGAGTCAGAGCCGATTATTTTCGCTTCCTTCATTCTTTCTGTCTGTTACTTTTTCTTCATCGTGTTATTATTACTCTATACTTGAATGGCTGCGCGCATCGAGAATAGAGGTGTATTGTTGCAACAGAAAAAAAAAAAGAATGTACTGCCATTATAAAAGTAACAACATAAAATTATTCGATAATTATGTTAACAAAATATTACTTATCTAGCTCTTACTTTGGAAATTTTCCAAAATTTAAAGTTGATTGAGATAGACCTATAGAGATCTTCACAACTAATGCTTATGAGAAATTTGTCATTCATTAAAGAGATGCATTTTTTGTTCTTCAAATTTCTAATAAATGTTTTCGGTCAAAGTCATTTCTAAGGAGTTCGATGGTGAATGATCACAACACTTAAAAACAAAATGAATATATTTTATTCTTCATAGTTTCTCTAGAATATATGTAGCGAATGAAACCAGTACAAAATAACTAAGTACTGTGAAATATGCATAACCGATTTGATATCATCAAAATTTGATTTAATGAAATTATTTCTTATTTTACTATGTATACTCTCAATAGACTTTAAACTCGTAAGAAACATTATCTATTTGTTTATTTCGTTTATACTTATTTCCTTCGAAATGTCAGAGATAATTTACATTTTAGTCAACAGTGGTCAGATTTTCAAAAGAGGAGATTACGGAAAATTTGGAAATTTTGAACTTGATACCTCTGAAACTCTGTTATTACAATAGACACGAATGATTCACGTTGATTTTTTTATTCTTCTAGTATCATTATCGAGAAAGGCTTCGAAGAAAAAAATTAAATAAAATTTCTCAATATCTGAACAACTTCAAACATAACAACAATGTGTATATTGATTCTGGAATGCGATTTATTTTATTTTTATTTCGCAATTTGTTTTTTTTCTTTTTAATCGTATTTTTGAAGATCTTTTGTTAATATAATGGCTTTCGGTATTGAATCTCCAGCTTGTCTACTCAAGAAATTTCAATCATAAAGATTATCGAAAATAGTTCTTGGTAAATCTAAAAGTTAATTTTATTAAAAAAGATTTATTTCCTGCCACAGTCAACAATAACATATTCTAAAATCAAATGGCAACATTACGACGTCCAGGTAGAGTTTTTTCGAGTGAATCAAGTGGTGGAGTATCATCATCGGACGATGATGCACCATCAACAATAGTTGGCAAGTCGGCAACGAATAAACCAAGTGAATTATCATTAAAAGATGATGAAGATACTATTGAATATCAAGCACCGTTACCTGACTATTATGGTAAGACAGGCGTTTTTCTTCCATTATCTTTAAAAATCAAATTGCATGGTCGTTGCAATTTTTTTACAGAAGAGGCAGGCGAATCAGATGATGACCGACGATTATTACCGAGAGCCAACCAATCATCTGCATCAGGAACCATTGATGATGAACATGATAATAGAAAACAATTATCAACAAAGAAAAAACGAAAGAAGTTTGTTGAAAATAAAACTATTTTACTTAAGTTTATTTTTACATCTTGAAGAATTTATTATATATGTGTATCCATGTGCAAGTATGAATGTGTACGACGAGCAGCAAAACGACTAAATTTTCGTGAAGTAGCTGATGAAGATGATTGGAATGTCTATTGGACAGATACAAGTGTTGGTATTGAAAGAGTTGCACAAATGAAAAAATGGCAGGTTAGAATATATCTAATTCAGTCTCAATATTTAATAATCTATCTCATTATCCCACAATTGGTAATTTAATAGTTATTCAATGAGAATTTCGTACTTTCTATGATGAGGGGGTAGATCGGCATTCAATGGAAAAAAAAACTTACTGAAAGAATTACAACAAATGACGTGCGGAATTTGAATCTAGAAGCTTAAAAATATTAATCAATACTTAATTTTCTTGAATTCTGTAGATTTCACAATATACAAGACATTCTAATATGAGAGAGACCCGAAATAATATTCCGTTCCAGCCTACTGACAAATTTAGACATGATATCGATATGGATGCTTGAAAGATAAAATATAGTTTCATTTCTTGGAATTAATTGATTCAAATATTTGACTTTTTTTAAATTTAAATAGAAAATAAATCATTTTCCTGGTATGAGTGAAATATGTCGAAAAGACTCTTTAACAAGAAATATGTGCCGTATGATGAAAATGTTTCCAAAAGAGTATTCTTTTTATCCAAAAGCTTGGTGTCTTCCAGCTGAGTATGAATTGCTTGTTTTTATTCCATCGTTTTATCTAATTTATTTTATTAAAAAATAATAGTTACAGCGATTTTGCTAAATACTTCACGGAGAAAAAATATAAAACTTACATATCAAAACCAGACGTTGGGTGTCAAGGTCGGGGTATATTTATCACAAAAAATCCAACTAAAGATATCAAGCCGTAAGAAATTTAAAAACAAAGTTGACGTATGTTTTTAAAAAAGAAATTGTTTTTCAATTGTAGAACGGATAATTTTGTTGTACAAGTGTATGTGAATCGAGTAAGAATATTATTTTATTGACTTTTTGACAGTCATATCCGTGTTTTTTTTTGTTTTAGCCATTTTTACTTGATGGATTCAAATTTGACTTACGTGTTTATGTTGCTGTTACATCGTGTGACCCATTTCGAATATTCGTTTATAGAGATGGTCTTGCTCGTTTTACAACACAACAATATGAAGAACCATCAAATTCCAATTGTGTAAGAGAAAATTTCGTAGCCACAGTCAGGAGTTTTACATTGGCTAGGTGTTTACTTCATTTTGTTTTTAGCGTAGAAACATCTTGTTTCTGCTAAATATTACTCTATCATCTCGAAAATATCAACATTTTCAGAGTTGCAAAAAACTTTGTTTTAATGAAAAATCTCTATGGGAACCTGTATTCTATGAATAAGCGGAGACTTTTTTCCTAAGAAGATTAATCAATGGCACACCACTAGATGTCGATTTCAAATATAAAATTGGTCGTTGAGCGAAGTGTTTCTATGTCGAGAATAATGAGTTTTACCTTGAAAACCTGTAATATAAACTTAAAATGCTCATGCTGATTTGCATTAGCCCTGTAAAAGTATTAAGAATAAAGAGACATTCTATAGATACTTCATGATATTTTGGAGTTGTAGCAAATTTTTCAAGCTCATTATAGTGAACGTATTTTTCAATCAAATTTCTCAATTTTAAAGAATAACAACTTCTTTTTCTGAACTCCAAAACACGTAAAAGTCTGTTTCTTACAAATTAATAAATTGAAAAAGTACGGCTGCACATTCTATATTATTTTTTCGAGGCTTTTTTTCTTTATATTTTTAACTTGCAGTAAAAAAACTCTAATCCTTCCTAGCGTCATTCATCGGCTAGGTTTTTTATTGTTTTTCCGACTAATGATAACAAAAAGAACAAAGACTTTCATATTTTTTAAATAACTCGTATGTCAGAATATATGCTGCCCTGTTCAAGTCACATTTAAAATACACCCTCTTTTTTTCTGCAACTAATACCCAATGTGATGTCTTGGGTGACATGATTCTGTACCCTACTAAGAAAAAACTCGAATGAAAATAACGACAGAAAAATTGTCATCATAATAGTTATGTCGATAAATAGAAAATAAATGCATGAATTATTATCTCATCGAGAAAAACGACATCTGAGTCGATTTTAACCATTATTCCAATAGATATTAAAAAAAAACTCTTTACTATAAAGTATTAGAAAAACGATAATTCAAACAAATATCTCTTAAAATAAATTACTAATAATGATAGGCTTATTGACAAGCTAATGATCAATGCTGTTTCTCAAAATAAAATTTATTTTATTCGACAAAACTGCATGGAATATTAATTAGTTGGTTCTATAAAAAAAACTGATTGAATAGATCATAATATTTTGAAGTGAAAAATTACTCTACATAAACTTAAATTGTTTTTACCATATGAACGTTTAAATTCTAATTTAGCATACAACTTAAATACATAGTTATACTTTGATTTTTTATAGAAAGATATTTTTATGCATTTAACTAATTATGCTATTCAAAAACGTTCCGATGATTTTATCCGAGATGAAGATTCCGGGACGAAACGGTAAGAAAAAAAAAGATTTTTTCAAAAGCGATCAAAAGACAAATTTTCTTCTCCGTTTTTGTTCTTCAGTCGAATAACAACAATTAATCGATGGTTAGTCGAACATGGTTATGATATTAATAAATTATGGATGGATATTGATGATGTTGTTATAAAAGTTCTTATATCTGCACATTCAGTTCTCAAACATAATTATCGCGCCTGTTTTCCAAATCATTATCGTGGTAGTGCTTGCTTTGAAATTCTGGGATTTGATATATTAATTGATCGAAAATTGAAACCCTATGTCCTTGAAGTAAAAATCTTTTCTAATTGACAAAAAAGAAACGAAAAAATTAAAACATACATAATTTCATTTTCCAGGTAAATCATTCTCCAAGTTTTACAACAGATTCAAAACTTGACCGAGAAATAAAAGATGCTCTTATATATGATACATTACTTTTATTAAATATGCCAGCAGCAGATAAACGTCGATTTATTGAAGAAGAAAAGAGACGTGCCAAAGAAAGACTTTTTCAAAAAATTAATAAGAAAGATAATAAATATCGTGAAGAACAAGAAGATCTTGCTCAACAATGGCAAAAAGAAATTGAAAAATGGGAAGAGCAACACATGGGAAATTATCGACGAATTTATCCAGGTCCTGATAGTGCACAAAAATACGATAGATTTTATACACAATCTGGAACACTCTATTCGGAGACAGCTGCTTCAAAAGCTCGACTTGAGCAAGCAAAGTAAATGATTTAAATATAAAAAGACAAATTAAAGACAAGAAGAAGAATCGTTGAATTTTCTATTTAATAGAGCACAAATTGATGAACTACAAAGAAAACAAGATAAATTCAATGCAATTAAAAATCGAAAATCACTTTCCGGTACAGTTAATCAGAATTCAAGAGAAGTTCCTGGTGAAAGTCCAACACGACGACCCCTACCCATTGTTAAACCATCAAGAACTTCATCGTTCAATCGAACACCATTGAAACGTCTTACAGCCGTGAGTTCACGTTTTCTCATTGAGCCATTGCTTCTTTCTCCCCTATCTCTTGACTAATTTACTAATATGGAGAAAATTTATAGACATTGGCTTTTTCTCATCGACAGTCAATGGTAAACCTATATCACCATACTTCGTTGCTATTCTTTTTCTTTGCCTACTGTATTTAATGTCCAAGAATCTAACTATTATTGAGAATAATAAAAATGAAATTTATTTATCACATTTTTAGAATGCTAATTTAACTATTTCACCTGCTCAAACTTATGGAGAATCAATGAAACCGCTGGATATTGATGAAAATGAAGAATTTGAACGAATGACATTATTTAAACAACGAGAAACACTCATTCGTGGAATGGGTAAGACAACAAAAAGGAAAAAAAATATTCTTATACTCTTTACTTAAAACAGGCGTAATTGATATGTGTCATCGTTTGCTATTTGGTACACCAGGAACTATGGCCAATGTGCCCATGAACACTAATATGAATGCACCAGCCAACGTACAACAACATATTGCAGTAATTAGATTTGAAGCAAATAAAAAATACTTTATGGATTCTTTGAAATCAAACGATCGTAAAAGTCAAACCTATATTTGAATAGTTGCCTCATACGGCATTAAAAGCTAATTCTTGACATTTAACTGAACGCATGATAATTCTTGACTACCTACAGCATACAATCACTGTAAGCTACTAGCGTCCGCAGTGTCACCGATGAAAAGTCAAAAAATCTTATTTGTTCGCTACTTTTACTCTAAAAGTATATTCTGATGAAATTTTTTAATCTATTCTAAATTAAATACATGCTCATTTTTATATATGTATTATTGTATAGTCAAATGAGGTAGCGTAGAAAATCCTTTTTATCAAGTATGTTTTAAAATCGTAAACGTTGGTGATTGCTCGTGTAGGTGCTTGTTTACTTCAGAGCTATCGTAGATGTTTATATCTTTGATAAAATATTCAGATGAAATTAGTATATAATCCAATTTGAAATAACTCTTTAAATATATAGATTTGACATTTTTTGTTTGTTTGATTATGAGCATCACTCGCTCTAAATCATTTCACTGATTGATCGGATGATATATATGTAGTCGTTGTTTATAATTTCTTTTCTTTTAGGTACCTATTGATATTGCTGATTCATCACAAAACCTTTCTTTACTTCAATATGCTGCTTCAAAACTACCCCAAGGACACGCTAATCGATATCCATCAAATAATGGAGTATCTTCACAAGTGTTTCAACAATATTTTAGTAATCAACAGCAACAAATGCAATCGAAACTTGAGACTCGATCAACACGAAATGTACATATTTTTTTATGAAAACCATATAAATGCTCGTTTAATTTACACCTAAGATTAGAATTTTCTCATGTTTTTTCTTCATTCTAGGGAACAACACTTTCACAAAATAGTTCAAGAAACGGGCGTTATCAACAAGCACTACGTTTAACAGAAAATAATCTTCAATATAACAATACTACTAGTAATAGTAATAGCATCAATCGAATACTACTACCGACAAATCCTATGCCACAATTATCAACAAATTTATTACCTAAGACATCCATGACTGCAGCGAATTCAGCAATCGATTCATCAATACGAACTAAAAGTGCAAATACAATGCCACGAACACGGACAGGTCTGTTGGGTTAAAAATCAAAGAAATGAATGTATTCCATTTAACTATCTACAACACATATTCGGACAATATTCCAACTTCTTCTATTGGACTTCACGTATTCTACACATAGATCATGCATGTATACACCAACTCTTCTTCTTCTTCTTCTTCTGATTTTCTGTTTATACTATACACCCATACACTTTACAATGATTCTATAAAAATTGGTAAGTATATTCGATTATATATATTTAATCGATCTTAACGATATTTTTGTCTATTTAATAACGATATTTTTATTTTGTTCATTCAGGCGGTCTCTATTTGGTTTCCTGCGGTACTAATATCACTCGTCTTCCTATCAATGCTAATTCAAACGGTGGAAATGTTGCTTCAACAACAAAAGAAATAGCTGTTAACGGCTCATCCATATCAGCCAGTAATAAATTAGAGTCTCTATGCGATATGGCATCACTTGAACAATTCAAACGGCTTCATTTAACTAAACTTTCATCTAATGATACTGTGTTATCATCAACATCTTCACCAACACCAAAATAAGATCGATAAGAGGCTTTTTTTTTAATATAGCGCTTTCGTTTATTTTTGATTTTTTTCTGCAACTGTCCCACCCCGGTTTTTTGCGTCGTTCGTTCTTATAATTATTCCAAAATCATTTTCTTTTATGTTTTTAGCGTGCCTTGTAGACAGACGATGATGGTTTTTGTTTATTGGTTTGTTTGTTTGTTTGTTTTTTCGTATGTTTGTACGAAACATTTTTGTGAATGTGTGTGAAAATTGAGCGAGAGAATAATGAGCAAAACAAAATGACATCTGATTTTCGAGCATATAAGAAATGATTTCATAGATTTCGATTGCTTTTATTTTTGTTATCGAATTATAAAGCAAATACACATGCGTTCAGTTCAAAAAAAGAAAAATAATGAATACTAAATTACGTTTCTCTTCGGTTTAGATGAACTTGCAATCTGCTTAACATATGTACAAACGAAAGTAATTGAACAAAATTTTCTATTTTCAGTTTATTGAAAAAAAGAACTGATATTGAAATTAAAATGTTGCATTATTAAAGAATGACTATCATTCGATATCTCAATCGGATTCAAACAAATATTAAAGTCTCGTTTATTTGCTTTACACAATAGCGAGAAAAAAAAACGCATGCTTTAGAAAAAAAGAATCAATGCTCTTTTTTCTTTTCTTTCACCATGTTATTTGATATCATTTTATCATGTAAGATATTTTCTTTTATTTATCTTCGACATTCATTGATTATATAGAATGAAAATAAAATATTTTATTCGCTGTGCTTTAATACAGCGTTGATACAAGTAATAAAACAATCTATCTTTAATATGAATAATTGGTAATCAAAGTAACATTTACATGTTCATATAATGTCATTACACTTATAAAATACAAAACAATGTTTGTAATTTATTTCATCTAATGAGACAAATTTTCATGAATCAAAATCTTTCCATATGTGTAAATATGTGATTGTTTTTTTTTGCATCAAAATAATACTCCTAATGATCCTAAGAGATATTGACTTTCTTGTCAACTATTTCCAATAGAATAAAGTTATCTACATCCTTTGTTTGAAAAAAAAACAGAAACACTAAAATTACTAATCGAAATTATTCGTTGAAAATATTCAGTTTTTAAAGCTATGCATGTATTTATGAGTGAAACAATACAATCATAATGAGAATGCAGAACATTGTAAAAAATAATCTATTGAATTTTTCTAACAACAAACAAAACAATTAATGACATAGTTACTAAACCTTTTGTTTTCTACAAAAATGGTGATCCCATCAAGTTTATGTATACCATTTAAAAATGATAACCATTGACAGAAATATGAATGCATATGAGATTTTTAGTATAGATTTGAATGTCTATCTACTTATGATTCAAACATTCGAATCGATCGTTATCGATTCAGTATGGAGACATCTATGATATCAGTCACTAATCAAAACCTAATGGATTAAAAACAGATAATATTCTCATAACATAAATATGACAACTGAAAAGTGTTGCAAAAGACGGCAGACTCATCACCAATGAGTCATTAGGCTTAGTAAAACAAAAGGTATGATTTCATCATACTGAATTTAATGCCTAAATAATTATTTTCTTAACGTTTTTAAGAAACGCTATCGTTACTCGTGTGTGACCTGCATTACACGCAAAAAAGATTGAAAGATCTATATGAAATTATCTCCTTTTCGTGTCACTTTCGATTACATAGAATGTTGAATTAACAAAATTTATTTTCGCATTTTTATTCTGACTATTTCCATAAAATTATACGAGATAGTATAATTGTGGTATAAAAATAACTATTGATTTAGTTTGAATTTTAAATAAATAGTGTTCTAGAATATTAATTAATTTTGTGAAAAGAAAATTCATCTTCTAAATAAATCACTTTCGACATTTGTTTTTAAAAATTTATGTTTACACACTATCTATAAACGCTATAGATGGATTCGCTTTTAGTAATTGAAAACAAACGAATAGGAACGTCTGAAGTTCAAAATAAACAAAGAAAAAAGAAAATACAGATCAATATTGATGTACTTTTATTCTATTCATCACATAAATTCATATTCGTATTTCTATTTGTCTGTAGTTGTTTATTTTGAAAGTGGGACGAAAAAAAGAGAACATGATCAGTTATAGTAGTAGGAAACGACGACAACGATGACGAAACCAAACCTTTTAAGTTAAATTGAGCAATATCATCCAGATAGTTAGAACAAAAGAAAAAAGAAAAAAAACAGAGAACAAACAGGATGAAACAACTGTACATGAAAAGAAAATCCAGGAAAGCACAAAAAAAAGGATATTTGGATGATAAGCAAAATGAAAAGAAAAAAGAAAAATACCCGCGTAACGCGAAAAAATAATAATAAATACAGCCGAGACAAAAGAAATATTAGAAATAGGATGGTTTTAATAGAAATATTTTTTTCTCACATGTGTCGGCCACGTTTTGGTTTTTGAAAATCCGATGAATTCGAACCAGTAAATAAATCTGCTGAATGCCAATCACGTTTTCGAGCTAAATGATCAGCAACTTGTTGTCGAACAAAACTTTCGAGTTGTTGAGCTGTTGACGTTGGTGGTGATGGTGATTGATGGCGATATGAATTTGAATGAACGTTACGATTAGCATTGTCTATGTCTAGAAAGAAAGCAAAAACGAAACAAAATGATAGCTCGACTTTTTTTTTTGTTCTTTACCATGCATGACAAGTGCTTGTCGAAATGTTTGTAAATCATCAACAACGGGTTGATTTTGACTTGTTGTTAATTCTGTAGTAGATTCTTGTCGACGTAAACTACTGCTATTTGTTGTGCCACTGTTCGTACTACCAATTTCGGTTGCTGCTAATGAACTGTTAGGATTATATGGTCGCGAAGCGAAACGATATGGTGGTCGACCAATCAAATAATCATAAACTTCTTCAGTACGTATATGACGTCGTTGTTTACGACGTGCCCAACATAGTAATTCTTTTGTTTTACGTTGTTCACCATTGATGATACCCAATTGAACGGTATCTTTTAATGCATCGAGACTTTCTATACATTGGGAAAATGAAAACAACGTATATATATATATATATATATATTTATTAAGTATTCGTTTAAATCGATTGTTTACCTTTGTATAGCATCGTCACAGATCCCGCTGCTGCATGAAATGTATTCCAATTAGCTGTTCCATTGGAGCGTTCTAAATATTAAAAAGAAACATGATGCAACTAACTAAAGAATATAATTGATATTTCTACATACCACGAAACATTTTTGTTACAGCTTTTGCAGCATTCTGAAAGGCAATAAATAATTTTTGTGTGTATAAATCTTGTCCATTAATTAAACTTTCGTTAATCATCCGTTCCAATTCATGTTCATATTTCGATAAAGCGGTTTCTTCACTATCAATTACTGATGATAAATTTGCACCACTATTAATTCCAGGACGTTCCGGAGAATCACCAATATCGGTGGAATCACCAAAATTAGACATTAAGAATTTTTTATATCTGAATAAAATAAAATAAAGATATGAGTTAAATAATAAACAATCAAATAAATAGTAAAAATAAAAAAAAATAATAATGATGATCAAATGTGATTTTTTTCCTGAATCCATTGTTTAACTGTCATATCGAATATTGGAGGTCGCTAGTAGAATGTTTATTTTTTTTTAAATTGATTTTTCAAAAGTAAATCGATTTAAAAAATTATTATTATGATAAGGAAAAAGATTCGAAAAGAAAATGGAAATAGGTGGAAAGTTGTAAATAAATTGCTCAATCAATGTTTGATTGGCTAATTAGAAATGGAGATAAATGAAGAAATCCAAAGAATTGCGCAGCAAACGATTATCTTTCGTCTTTTTGATTTCTGACGAATTTTTCATATGTTTGTAAATGTTTATAAATGTTTTTATAGATTAAAAACCCGGTGTGCGTGTTAAATCTCTTTTTCTTTAAAGAAAAGTAGGTTTGGAAGTTTTCATTGATATTTTAAGTATTAGTTTTTCAGAAGAATATCGAATGGATAAAAACGATAACGCTCAAGCACCAACCGGTGAATCACCAGCAGTCGGTGCTCAAACATCAGCAGCGAGTGGCGCTGGTACACCTTCAGCAGCACTCGGAAATCCGGGTTTTCCTCAAAGTGCTCAACAAAGATTTGATTCCATGGGTGATGAAGCTGGATCATTTCTTGTTGGAAGGTATGATGAAAAGAAAAAAAACAATATTTATATAGGCCAATACGTTTTTACTAATACATATATATATATATATATATATATGGTACTCAGAAAAAAATGGTATAATATGCTTAAAACTATTCAAATTAAGCCTGGGAAATTCTTCGTAGTGTCACCTTATTCACTCGTACAGCGAATTCAATTGTTTTAGTTTAATCACTATAAATTAGTAAAAATAAATTATTATAGTTTGGCTAAGTTTAGGCAGTCAGACTATTATTTTTTTTAATATACTCTGGAAAGCCTGTCGATTCTCTGAGTACGCATAGAAAAGTTGCAGAATTTTAATGAATTCATGTTGTAAATATTTAATCGAATTGAGAATGTAATTTTTCTCATCGAAGCAGCATAACACTATATTTTTCGCATTGAAATACTACATATTTGTAATATATTATTCCAATAAGATCCTCGTACATAACTGAACTACTATTTCAGGTTGATCAAGTCGAGAAATTGTACGATTCAACGAAGAAAAATTGATCAATGAGATAACGAGAGTCACACGACTTAAGTATTATGGAACATGTTCTTTTCTTTTGTCTATGACTGGTGGATCTCGTCTCATCGTATGTCGCGTATGGCGATGTAAAAACTAGATCTTAGAGGGAATGTTTGCCCTAACTGAAACAAAAGATTACAGTAAGCTGTTTTCTAGCTTTACATTAATATGCTTATCAATCAACTCATAATGAAAGCAGGATTGCTTAAATGAAAAATGCTAGTTATCAGTTACGTCAATTAAAAATCGAATATTAAAAAATCGCTGCAGATGTAATGCCAATAGATTAGAGGGCTGACAAAGATCCAGAAAAAGTCCACTTTACCTACAATCCTGTGAAAAGTCCTTCACCCTCAACCTAAAGTCTCGCCATAGGATCTTACTAGTGGCGGTGCCTGTCAGCGGGACTTTGGGTAGAAAAAGTGACATTTTCTCGGAACTTTGCAACTGCTGCTAGATTATGGTAGAATTTTTTCTATATCGAAATTAGCATGAGTCGCATGACAAATAGACATGATTTCAGGCATCTATAGTCATGAATATGCATGATCATTTTTAGTATTTAGTAATTATTGTATGACTGAAATCAAAGGAAAATTTTCATAAAAGAACTTATACATCGATTTATCAAAATTTGCAATCTCACCCTTATGTATTGTCCCATGGGATGACGCTTGTTGCCTTTAATAATGTTATCAAAGCAAATAAAAATTCTCCATTCGAATGAGTTATTTTTTAATTTGCGATCAATAAAAGTATCTTTTTTGTTTTGTAGTGAATGGTTTCCTATTGAATTAAATACACTGCTACCGATCCTATCATATTTTGCTCTTTATATTCCATGTAGAACATATCTATAAAAATTCAAGCAGCTTATTACCATTTATTATTTCTATTTATAATGCCTAAACGAAGAAAACTGCAGAATTGATAGAATACAACATTGTTTCTTTTCTATTCCCATCGTAGTAGACGCGACAAAATGTCATAGAAATACTGATTAGAAATAAATATATATATATATATATACATGAGTCTTTTTCTTGTTTGGGCAAGTGTGGGACTCTTCTATTACGCTATTATTACTAATATACTCTTGTGGTATTCTTCTTATTGTCGTTTTGATCAAATGTCAAATAACGATAGTTGCGATGAAAATAGTTACCTATCCGATGAGCATCGTTCATCATCATCTCAGAAAGAATATGAAGACCATGAACAAAAGTACAATATAGATTTAATTTGTTTCTTTGTTTAATTTTGGTAGAATTCATTTTCAATATCAATAAATTGTTTACTTTTTTTATTTAGTTTACCAGCAGAAGTTGTACGTCGGGTTAATGCGCTTCGAAATCTTCAAGTCGAGCATCATAAAATTGAAGCAAGCTTTTTTGAAGAAGTTCATGCACTTGAATGTCGATATTTAAGCAAATATCAACCATTTTATGAAAAAGTAGAAATCTTTTTATCATCATTATTTTATGTTAATATGTGATTGTTTTCCTATGTGAATTGATTAGCGCTTGAATGTTGTTAAAGGAATATATGAACCAACAGACGCTGAAGCTAAATGTGCATTCGATGAAGATGAAGTATGAATATTTAGTTTTGAGATAAATTTTTGTTTTTTAAAACTATTATTGTTGATTTATAGACTGATGAAGAAGCTAAAAAAGCAGCAGAAACTGCAGAAAAAACCGACGAACAGAAAAAAGAAGAAGGTATGATGATAATTTAATATTAATAATTCATATAGATCGGTTTCGAATGTACAGTTTAATTGAAATGTAAATTCCAACTTAAATCTTCAATATTTATTTCTTATGTCCTTGAACATAGAGCGACGTCATTTAGTATGTGTTTGTCTGTGCTGTTTCTTTTTCGCATATCCTTTTATACTTTTTTTCTACAGATAAGATATCGTTTACAGTCATTATCTGGGATTTCGTGTGAAACATGATCTAAAATACATGATAAACTATACGACTAAACATTTAAGTCTATTCTTTCACAGATCACGACAGATGCTAGTTAAAATTTTATCGGTGACTATGATCGACAGTTTTTTAATTTACCGTCATAGCTCACATGTCAATAACATCTCGTATTTTGTATTTTCCATAGATTGAATACACTCTTCGTTTAGATATTCGTCCCAAATTAGATAGAATATAACAATCGTCCTGTTGTTAGGAATAGTAACTAGATTCTATTCGTTATCTTTATTCCGCAGAGTTTGCTCTGGCACCCGTTTTGGGGAAAAAAAAGAAATAAAACAAAAATGATGACTATTTATCCGATGATATCATCTTCGTTATTGTATCTTCTTGAATACTTTTGGTCGTAAGTGTGAACGAAATACTTCTGTATGAAACATCGATATATACACATCGAATATGTTATGAAAGTGTTTAAATATGAGAAGTGAAATATGTCTAATGATTGAAAAGAAGTATAGTCGATAATAAATAGAATAAATATGAAAAATGAGTTATGCGATGTGACTGATTGAGCATTAATATTATTTATAAAAGATATGAACTTAATTTTATAATTGACAGAATATATGATTTGTTTTTTATATTAAAAATTAAAAATATAATTCTCTTTAGAAAAAGCAGTCGGTATTCCAGAATTTTGGTTACAAGTATTCAAAAATTCAGATGTTCTATCAGAACTAATTAAAGTATAATAAATTAAACATTTTTCAAATGAATTGAAAATTCGAACTTTGCTTTTTAAACTTAGGAACAAGATGAGCCTGTCTTGAAGCATCTTATTGATGTACGTATCACAATGCAAGATGACCCACAACAAAAAGGTTTTACCATCGAATTTGAATTCACAGCGAATGAATATTTTACGAATCCATCATTAACCAAATCTTATGAACTTCGTATGGGACCTGATGAGGAAGAACCATTGTCATATGAAGGACCAGAAATCGTTAAATCGAAAGGTTGTGAAATTCATTGGAATAAAGGAAAAAATGTAACCATTAAAATGGTTAAAAAACGACAAAAACATAAGAATCGTGGAACAATTCGTGTCGTTACTAAAGAAGTACAAACCGATTCATTTTTCAACTTTTTTACGCCGCCAACTGGTATACGTTAACAGAATTTTGTTTCCTTCTTTTTAATAAAAGAAAAATATTTTCTTCATTTTTAGTACCTGAAGAACTCGATGCTGAACTTGAAGATAGCGATGAAATGCGTATGCTAGCTGCTGACTTTGAAATTGGACATATGCTTCGAGATTCAATTGTACCTAAAGCTGTACTTTATTACACTGGTGAAGCTGGTGATGAAGAAGATGGAGATGTATGAAAAAAATCTAATTTAATAGAGCAATTGCAAAATATTGATTTTTTGTTTAAATTTTTCTAGTACGATGAAGATGATGAAGATGAAGACGACGGTGAGATTATTAGGAAGAGTTTTAAATAATAACTAATCAATGCTTCTTTTAGATGAGGATGACGAAGAAGAACCAGAAGAAGAAGAAGATGAAGGTAAATATAGATATTATCATTTTGTTTTCATTACTTAATTGTGCCATTTAGGTCATGGACATCATCATCATGCCGGTGGTCGAGGTGGACATCATCACGGCGGTGGTAAACACGGTGCAGCAGGGGGTGCTGGTGGCGTAAGTATTTCTTTACTTTTTTTCGTGATTTTTTTTTTATAAATGAAACAAAAACTTTCGTTTTTAAATAGAAATCTCGAGGTGGTAAACAAGGTTCAGGTGGTGGTGCCAACGGTGCGGGACAACAACCAGAATGCAAACAGCAATAGAAAAATAAAAGAACAAATAAAATAAAAGAAAGAAAAATTAAAGCAAATCGACGATGGATTTGCCTATTTTTTTCTCTTCTACAGATGCTACGTTTTCTCGTTCTGTTCTTCTTTTTTTTTCCAGAAAATCGTTTATTGTTGTTCTTGTTCATGTTGTTATATCTTGGAAGTTTTCTCTCATTTATTTACAGGCATTAGAAAAAATCAAGTTGTGGAAAAAAATATTAAAAGATTCAAAGAAAAGATAGAAAACGAACAAAGATAAATGAATCTGTTATATAAATGTGTTTTTTTTTTTTGTTTCGTGGTAAAATGGGATACTTGTTCAATCTTAAATGGTGAGGAGAGGAAGAAGAAAAAGGAGAAGAAGAAAAAACTGAACAGAAAAAGATGAAAAACAAATTGCACCGTCATTATCCTTTTTCTTTTTTCACCACCTCCCTTGCGTCCTCGTGCGCTATTGCATTTTTTTTTACATTGCACTTTGCCTAGCACGAAAAATGAAAATATCACTTTGGCTTATTTCACCTTGTTCTCAGGTTATTATCAACAACGAGGCTTGACGATAGAACAATATCATTTATCTTTCTCTTTCTCTTCTACCTAATGAACCTGTAAGATAATGGAAATAGCATAATATTTGGTTCATTAATTTCAGATTCAATCTATAATGAAAAGACTTTCACGTTTCCATCTATGAATTATATTAACTATAAAAAGACTAGCATTATATAATCTAAATTCAATAGTCACCTGAAAGGAAGAGAATGACAACTTCCGATGATTACGAAAGTCTTCCAGATTCAATGCATCCAGCTATACATATGGCTGCTGGAGCATTAGCTGGTATTGGTGAACATTGTATTATGTATCCAATTGATGTAGTTAAAGTATATTGAATAGTTCTTTTTAATTGAAATAATCGTAGATTTTCTTTATATTTTTATAGACTAGGATGCAATGCATTAATCCTGATCCTCATGCAAAATATCGAGGAATAGTACATGCTATGCGAGAAATGATGACTAATGAAGGCTTTTTTAGACCTGTCGGTGAATTTTTCTTGAATACTTTTCAAATAGATCAATCTATATATTGATTTTTTTTGTTTCATGTAGGTTCGTGGCATGCATGTTGTAGCTATAGCAGCTGGACCTGCTCATGCACTTTATTTTTCCTGTTATGAAAGAATGAAATTATTACTTAGCGGAAGTTCCCAAGTTGGTCATAATCCATTAGCTAATGGATTAGCCGGTTGTTTCGCTACTTTGTTGCATGATGCATTAATGGTACCTGCCGACGGTAAAACTTAAACATATTTATAATCAGTAAAATTAAATTTATTGATTAAAATTTAGCTATCAAACAGCGTCTTCAAATATATGCATCTCCATATTCTGGTGCAATGGATTGTTTACGTAAAATCCGTCAACGTGAAGGTCTATCTGTACTATATCGAAGTTATACAACACAATTAACAATGAATATTCCATTTCATTCAGTACATCTTATTGTTTATGAATTATTCCAAGATGAACTAAATTATGAACGAGCGTATGATCCAATATCACACGTTATATCAGGTGCTGCAGCTGGTGCCCTAGCTGCAGCCATAACAACACCATTAGATGTTTGTAAGACACTATTAAACACACAAGAGTGTTGTTTAGTATCCACTGGTGGCCCAACATGTGTATTAACTAAAAGTTCAACTATAACATCGGCAACAGCAACAACACCAAATAAAGCATTCGCCACTGAAGAAGCAAAAGGACTTATAAGCGCAGTTCGATTAATATATATGAAAGGTGGACTAACGGTATTTTTCAAAGGTTTAACACCACGTGTTCTTTATCAGATGCCAAGCACAGCCGTTGCTTGGTCTTGTTATGAGTTTTTTGTAAGTAATACTGAAAACAATTGTTACAAAGAAAAAACACAGAAAAGTTTTTTTTTTAAATTTTAGAAACACTTTTTTTCCGGAAAATCAACAGTATTATGACCTATGTTGGCATCAACAGGTGCCATTAGTTGGCGCTAAACGTTTTCCTTATATGTTATTGTTTCTTTAAGTTTTCATCTATTAGGTAATTTGTTGGATAAACCAACTCATGATCGATTTTCTACTGTTACTTGTTTCTTTTCAATTGATTGATTTTCTCTTCTCGGAATCAGTTCAGTGTTTCTAATAGAAATCTGAAACAAAGTATTCAATACCGAGTTTTTTTTATACAAACAAAGTATCACAAAGTGTCCAAGATTAATTTTGATCCGATTAAATTAAAAAAGAAAAAAATATATATTGATTTACTAATATTAAGCCCAAATAAAAAATATGCAAAAAAACAATTGTGATCACATGCGATAAATGAATATTTAATCTGCTATTTCTTAGATGAATTCGAAAAAAACAATTTACCAAAAATATCACGTTATATTTAAGTTTCTGGTTGTTTTTTCGAAGCGGAAACATATTTACGAGCACACGTTGAAGTTGATTTCTTTATAATCTTCGGCTTATTGCAACTATAAGTTCCATGTTCAGTAGTTGACGAGTGTTGTTGATTATCATGAATATTAGAATTATAAAATGAACATGGAGATAAATTGAATCTCTAATAATGAAAGAAGTAAACAGTTCGAAGTTTCAATTCAATGAAAAGTAAAGTATCAATAATTTTCAGCAGGTGTCCCCTTAATACTTTTTTTCCAACGTGTTGTAACGATAAATATGGGACCCTATTTGGGTAGATATATTAATGACAAACTGTATAGAGGTGGAGTAGCTTACCAACACTCTCGGCAATGATGTTTATTCGCTTCTTCACATATCCAGAGTGTAACTACTTCAAAGATAACACACGTATGTATAGGAGAGAGACAGGAGATATATATATTAGAACAATGGAAAGAGAATAGAAAGAGAAGGAAGGAGAATCATCCAAGCGTGCCGTCAATGTCGGCACAAGTGTAAAATAGAGTATTAATCAAAGTGCACAAGGATCATGGATACTTTGTTATCACTGTGGATCCTTCCCAGGTCCATCACTAAGACCACCTGAAAAATGGGCATTAAACTGCCTGAAACGGTTAATAAACGGCGTAATTAACGCCCTAAACGCTGGAAAACGATCGTCGTTGTTTAGCCGTTTTCCGTCAGTGAGCTCGGATTACGGACCGCTTTTCCTCCGAACGTTAGCGACGTCATTTAAAACCGTTTCCGATAAAAAAAAAAGGTCGAGTGATAAAAGGACTCTATTTTCGCTTTTTTCTTCTCAATCTCGCCGTTTTTCAGCGTTTATAATAAGTGCTGCGTTGGTCATCCATATTTTATTCCTCAAAATGAAATACAATACAATAAAATTAAAATTAAAAAAATTATACGATAAAATACAATGCATAAAATAAAATAAATAAAATTCTAAAAGTAAAATAAAATAGATTAATATAATATAAAGCAAATAGAATACAAGACAGCATCTAAAAAATAAAATAAAATAAAATGTATACAATAGGTTGAAAGACAGTGTCTCAGTGGCATTGTGTCCAAATCTCGAAAGAAAAATCTCGAAGAAAAAATCTTAAATATAATTATTTCGAAAAATTTAAATTCGAGAAGTTCATATCTCGAAAACTTTTCGTTACGAAATCAAAAATCTCGAAAGAATTAATTATCGAAAGCAAAAGTTCCGAAAAATTCAAATATCGAGGAAAGAAATGTCTAATAGTTAACTGTTCATGGTAGATATGTTCATAATTATATGATGGGATGTGGATAAGGTTGAAATTTTATTTTAAAACCTTACGACAATAAATCAATAAAATGGACAAATAAAATGAGAAGTAACGAGAACATTACTTCGTTCCGACCAATAGAGAAAGTCCTTCGAGGAGGTCACTGAAATTTGTTTTATTTTGATTAAAATCCGATTGACCTGAATCGATTCAATGTTGAAGACTACGCGCTTTTTTGTGGGTGTGGATGTGGGTATACGTTCAGTAGATGAGTAAGAGAGAACCCACACCCACACCCTCAAGATACTTGTCAACATCTTGAGAAATCTCTAATCGTTCAGGTACCGGTATATGGGTATGAGGATTTTCTGCGTATTTAAGAAATTGATCATCAGAATTTAGGTAAACACCAGCATTACACAATTCGATCTCACATAACCAATAACTGACTTTCGCAGTGGATTTGTTTTGCTGATAAATATAACCATCAATGACAAGAAGACGTGTTTTCTTATTACTAATAAGGAATGAAATTGTAGATGTTTGATCGGCATCGCTTGATGGCATTTTTTTATGTAATGGAAATAAAAATAGTCAATAACAGACGTAAAAAAAGATGGTTTTATAAACGGCCAACGGGACGAGAGACCAATGAATGAAGATAGTTTGTGCGATATGGACGATCTACACAAAAGAGAAGAAAAATAAGAATTATCACTCGTGAGCACAGACCGCAAGAACGGACGAAAGAAAAATAAAAGAAAACAGGCCAGTCATAACAATATCTATTTTATATTGACCAAGTGTTCGTAGAATGAGAGAATATCTTTCAAGATTTGTTTTTTCGAAATGTGATGTAGCAAAATTGGTCGCTCTTCTGTTCAAGATCTAATTTTTTCTGGATTTTGCTTTTCGAAATATTAATTTTTCGAAATTTCATCTTTCGAGATTTGGACAGCAATTCGTCTGTGTGTATTTTACCCATATTTATATCTAAAAATAAAAGACATAAAACGGCAAAAAAATTCGCCTTAGAAGGTAGTCGTTTCCGACGACACGGAAACCACCACCTAAAAAACTACCGTTTTTAGTCCTATCACATCGTTTTCCAGTGCTTCATCGATGGCCATCGTAACGGCTGCTGGTTTTAACGGTTTTTCAGTCGTTTAGGGCCGTTTACGGACCGTTATATACGACGTGGGTAAGTTGAAACTAGAACAAGATCGAGATCCCGATATACAAAAGATAATTCAAAATATTCATTCACCATCTTATCAATTATCATTTGTTTTACTAGAAAAAATTCTTCATGAAGTAATCACATTAAAACAAAAACCTCAATTAACAACAAAATTAATATATCTACTATCATCGATGATATTTTCTTTGTTACGTGCTTGTCATAATGATCCTATGACAGGTGCACATTTTTCTACAGATCGTACCTATTATAAAATTCGCAATCATTTTTGGTGACCACAAACGAACTTCGCCATTCACAAATATATAAAAGCTTGTAATTTATGTCGGCAGTATAATGCAAGTCGTCATAAAAAACATGAGCAATTACACCCTATTTCGCCTCCGGATGGACCATTTATCTCAATAGGTATTGACTATTGTGGTCCTTTTAAGCACACTTCTCGAGAGAATCAATACGTGCTTGTATAATAACTGATTATTTTACAAGATATATTACAGCAGTTGTGTTGCCAAACTGTGCGACTGAAACTACAGTCCAAGCTTTATTCAACGAATTTTTCTGTAAATATGGTATTCCATCAGTTACCCAGGTCGAACATTTCTGCCACCGGAACCAGTAGGATACTCCAGGAAATATGCGGGAAAGTCACCATATTCTGCAAGAAAACACGGGAAATCGCTGGAACATGGAAGCATTATTCCGGTCAAAAATACGACCGAACTTTTCAGGCGAATTCCTGCCAAGTTCCGATGCTTTCCGGCAGGAATGGATCAGAAATCACTGGAAAAAATGCAAAAATTTTCCGACTGGAATACGGCTTCCACAAAATCAACGGAACTACACGGAACCTGCCATTTCCAGACCGGACTGTTCGACCTGGGTATATTAAGTGATCAAGGATCACATTTTCAGAATAAATTGATGAAGAATATTCAAAAGCTTATTGGATATAACCATATTTACAGCATCCCGTATCATCCTCAGACGAAAGAAGTGGTTGAGTGTTTCAATGCTACTTTCGTACCACAAATATCAAAACTACAAGACACTCCGAATAATAACTGGGATGAATTCTTACAAGCAATTGTCTCTGCAAACAACACAGGCGTACATAGAACTACTAATTTTTCCCCTTACGAGCTATTGTAACCTGTGTAATTTTTTACAAACAGGTCAGTGATATATCTGTGTTCTATTTATTTATTTTGCTTCACATTATATAATTAATTAAATTGTTGTCTTCTACTTTTTTCCATCTCCTTATGTATATGTTCTATTAATATCACCATTATTATTGTACTTTGATTTTGTTTTGGTTGGTATTACTATCTCGTGTTTTGTTATTTTTCACAATTGTTATAATCATGTACATGAACAATACACATAACAACTCAGGACAAGATTACTGCAATTACTTCATATGTTGTATCCTAGTAGCTTTGCCCAGCAAATAAAAATTGAGAGCATTTTAAAAAGAAATTAAACTGCACGTCAGTCAATTAGAAGACATAAATTATCTATTAAAATCAATTCTGGCTATTGGATATAAACGGCTTATAATATATTGTTTTTTCTTCATATCTTAAGAATCATGTTATTAAGTGTCACAATATGATGTCACTAATCAATTCCCGTCTCATAATTCTTACTTCCCAGCACAAGAACGTCATTGATTCAATTTGTTATCACTGTCAACTAGAGCCCATCGGGTCCACATATTCTTGGACCTGGACCCGAACCCGATAAATCAGAATTTTCAGACTGGAACCGGGAACCAGACCTGGTCGATTAAAATTTTGATACCCGGACCGGGACCCGGTACATCAAAAGTGATTGGACCTATACTAGCCGGGACACTAAAACTTTGAAACTACTCTGATAAAATTATTCAAATTGAAGTAAACCTCCTCCCATATTAGAAGACCTCTCAGCTTGTATCACGCGAAACCATCAAAAGTTTCAAAAATGGTGTTTTCATAGGAAACAGATTACTTTCTTAGGGGGGATTGTCTACTATGGGAGGGGGGTTAGCGTTCCTCAACTTTAATCTTTAAATTTAAAGCTAAAACTAGCATATCTTCAAGTTTAACTTTCTAGAAAGCCAAAATTTAAAGTATATTTTTTAGAGAATCTTTCTTTTGTTAGAATTATTTTTTAATGAAAAACAAATAATTCTGAACAAAAAAATTCCTTTCATGAAAACATTTCTTCGAACTTCAAATCTTTGGACTGCAAATTTTAATCATGCTTCTTTCAATTTGAAAGGTAATTTAAGCTCGCATTCTTAACAAAAACCTAGTTTATTAGTCAAAATAGATCTGGAGTAAAGCGTACTCTTAAACTTGCAGTCAAATTTTCTAATTAACTCTGGTGGTCGCTCCGAAGTTACGGCATACTTTTGTACTTTTTTGTTATGTAAGTAGTTGATCTTGCACGTTCTTTCAACTATCCGATAAATTGTCTTTAACAATTAATTTATGATGGACTCTGACTTCTAGTGACTCGCTATTAGTTTGCAGCTTCGAATGGAATAAGGAACACATGTATTAAAGTGTTTATATTGTTTCTTATGTTAGGCAACTGCTCCGTCACCAACATCGACTTCGCTTTCACTCAGTTATATGCATAAAAATTTTCTTTTGATCTGGCCCAATAAGTAAAAATATTTTTAATCTGGACCCGACAAAGAGAAATTTTTAGACCCGGAACCGGCGGGCTCTACTGTCAACACATCTGACGATTTATTAACATCATTGTTATTTTTCTACTGTTTACCTGAATCTATTTCATTTTCAATCTTATAACATTTTGTCATTTTTTTTCCAAAATACGTTTCAATTCTTATACCGTTATTGATGTTATTAGGACAAAAACAATAGGATTTATACTTGATTTTTCATTGATTTAGCAATGTTTTTTGGTTTTGTCAACATCGTATGTTACAAGAGTTTTGTATAATGGATACTGTACTATATCGCAGAAAACTCGATTTTCTGCAACAGTTCGTTGAATATGTTTGTATAGTTCTAGTTGTGACTCAAAATTGATTATAGAATGAATGCCATAACGATGAACAATAACAGGTACACTTGCAAATAGACTAGTATTATTCAAGTAGATCTATATTAAAGAAAAGAAATAATGCAAAATATTTTGATAATTAATAAAAACAGATTATGTTCACACAACGCTATTGGTGCAATAACTACATTGTCTCAACAGGAAAAGAATTATCATATCCGAGATGACATATCATCAGTCAATTAGGTGGACTCAACATTCCACTCTTAAACTTCAATCTGGATTATGCTCAAGCGCATGAAAAACATTGAGGAAACGTTTTCTATTGAGAGCAATCTTTGCTGATAATTTCTTATTGAAACAATTTTCCAAACAATTAAATTGATCTTAAAGATGTAAACAGTGATTTTAATACATATATGATTTGATAAAGATTAACTATTATACACAGTCTCTTAATACATTCAGTTTGAAACTCTGCTAACAGATTAAGTTTGTTGAAATGTCAAGATTTCAATTAGTATTCTAGTTTCGAAAATTCATTGAGCAAATGAGATTCTATTAACCCAATAAGAGATTTCCAATAGCTGGTTTTTTTTCTAAATTGTTTTTATATTCATTCCTTATTCGTAACCTGTTTTGTGAATTGTTGTTGGAAAAATGGCTGAATATAAGCCGATAAAATAAGCATTTCTTGTGAATTACTCATAATAGAACGAGTGATTTCACATAAATTCATGCCCAACGTATACTCATATGATCGATGATATAATATTTGTAGACAATGCCATCCATTCAAATGCTTAATAACCTCATCTTGAATTAGCTGGCGAAAATTTCGTTGTGATTCGATTGGGTTTGTTGTATTGTTCGAGACGGATGATTCAAGTGTTTGATGATGTTTTTCTCTTGTTTTGCTTATTTTACGGTTAGTTTTGATTGATTGAAGAAAGGTACTTGAACAATGCCATTGCAGAATTCGATCAGATATATTCCCATTGAAATGCGAAATAGATTGATGTTTCTTCGAAGCATCAGGAGTCATTTTTTTCTCATGATTAGGAGTATTTTTTCGAATTTGTTTCATATTCAGATGCGACGATGTGTTTACTAAGTGTCTATAGAAAACATATTTCATCATGGAACAACAAAAGAAGAATCAGTATACTCTACTTATGTTTCTTTATTTTTTCATCTGTCTTAATTGAGCTTGAATTTATCGTTTGAAATTTTTCTTGTTGTGCATTGTTGCTCGTCGAAGGTTCAATAAAATTCTCTTGTATTTTTCTACTTTCATCATTAGTCAATTTTATACATTGACCTTTTATAGTAATACTAGGCCAATAAGGTTCGATTGATTCATGAAGATTTTTCAATGTAAAACCAGTAATATTTTTACTTGGTATATCAAGTAATTTGCCAATAGCATATCGCAGTCGATGATTGTAAATATTGGAACTCAATCCACATACTTGTCCAGCATGAAAATGATTAGTGCCTAATGATTTCACAACTAAAGAATTGTAATCATATGGGGAGACACCTAAACGTATCGAAATATAATGGTATAAATCAAATCCGAAACTATTGACGAGTACTGAACGTAACTATCAAGAAAGCAGCATTTGGATTTGTCATGAGTAGACGTAAAATGACTGATGGATTACCATGAAGAGTGTCAATCAACTGCTGAGCTTTTTCTCGTAACGATATTGAAAATGTTTTGTCATTTTGTTTTATATTTGTATAATTGTTATGCATTTCTGTCATAAGAACAACATCCGATCTAGACGTATGTGCAATATCTGATGTATATATGAGATTGACTGTACGAGAACTAGGACAAAGTTGAAATGCACAAGCGAGCTTTCATAAAATAAAATGTTAAAAGTAGAATTTTCTATCAAAAATAATTATATTGTCGACATACATCATGAAAGCACATTTTCATCTGTTTATTATAAGATTGATCGAAAACAACAATTTCACTGACATAACGTCTTATAGCCATGGTAAGTGCACATACAAATGCAGATCGATCTGTTCCCAAAATCGTGACTTTTGCTTGAGGCTTTGTTGGATATGACATTAGTTGTTTGCTCATTGAAAACGTTTCCTTTACATTTGAATAAATATTCATATTTTTCATATTCTGTGTGTGTTGTTTCGTTTTGTTTAAATTTATAGGAAAATGTTTTTCAAATTTTTTTATCGTATAGTATAAATGAAAAGAAAATAGGAGTTTCTTGATGATATTGTCTTAGTAACTTTGTATCGAATATGATGTACAATAAGCGGGATATTAGAAGATATCAAACGAATTTAATCTTAAAAACCAAACTTGTCAGGATAGTTCTGAAAGAGACCAAAGCATGAAACACAAATTTTGATGTTAATAAGTTCTTGCCAGAAATTTTATAATAATTTATTTAGATCAATACCAAATAAATGAATAAATAAATCGAAATTATAATAATTTATATGTTTCATTGGTATAGTCAGAAATTTTATTATTACGAAAACATTTATATTTAGAATTATTTTTTTTACAATTTCTTACATTCAATCAATACTGTTCAATTACTATACATATTGACTTATTCATTCAGTAGACTACCACACACAGAATCATTCTTCTCTCTTTCTCTAACAACTTCGTCATATCTTCAAGAATTTTGTCAAAATTCAGAATTAGTTTAGTTTGCAATTTTCTATGTTCATCTTATTCTAATTTTACTAATAATATTTATGAGCCTTTTTTTTCGTTGTCAACAAAATCTTATCAATAATAGCTAGCTTTTATTTGTTCATCTGTGTTGCTGTGACACATGCTCAAAACCTTTTACTTTCTCCCTCACCCCTTCCGGTTTCTAGGCCTACAAACCGTAAAAACCTAGGGTTGAATTTACTCACGGTTATCTTCTTCGAAAATATATGCGAGTTCGACACATAAGAACAATACCGCTCAAACGTTTTAGTTTATATACAGACAACTTTTGTTTTTTATAACATGTTATATCTCATATGTTGAATTCAAGTTTATAATGCTATTGATTAATTCTTATTATAAATATAATAATCATCAGTATTATCATCATCATCATCAGTATCAGTATCTTGTTCCATTGTTAATTTTCGAATAGGATTTCGTTTATAGATCTTAATTTCCTGTATAAAATTATGATTCAAATATGGATTAGGTGATTCATCATATTCGTTATTCACATCTGAAATAATATGAAATGGTGTTGTCGGTGGATCAGCTGGTATGGGCCGTTCTAATATTTGCTCTAGATGATTCCATGCATCAACTTTATCCCAACGATCCAATTTCAAATAAGCCTTCTGATGATTTAAAATGCAAGCTGGGCGAGTACATTTCGTATGTGTACTTGATAATGTACCGCGAGTAATTGAATGTAAACTAAATTGGTTGGAAGAAAACGCTGTTGAACTGTTCTCGAAATCATTATTGATTTCATCTTCAATACTGACTAATCCTTTATCTCGCGAGTGTCGAGTATCAGATTTAATCTTCACACGTGTTCTTATTGGAGCCGATGAGGATAAAACAGCGAGACCATTGAATGCTGATTTATTTTTTACATGATGTAGCTCACGATTTCTATTATAATTTAATTGATGACGCGTGTCACTGTCTAACGTTGGAAAAGAATTATTAGAAGCACTTTTAAGTGATTGTTGTTGTTGTTGTTGTTTTGAATATGGAGTTAATGTTAACGGATGAAGATAGATACGTCGAGTAAGAATATGTGCATTTGTTGGTGATAGTTGTGATTGATATGATGATAATGATGGTGGTGGATGACGGAAATCATGAAACGATCGGCATAATTCAAGTAATGTTAATGTTTTTGGTTTTATCGGATAACGTGATGTCGCAGACGCCATATATACCTAGCAAAAAAGAATCAAAAGAAAATGAATCTTTATTCTTTAAAATAGTTGAATTTTATTTTGTTTCGAAATTTTCTATGTAGAATAAAAATGAAAATCATGCTGTGTATGTTTGTAGTATGGATCATATTGATCTGTCGAACTCGTTGCTGCATGATGTCAATGAGTATTATTGTAGCTATTTTTGACAAGAATTATTGAAGCCATATTAATTATCTTCGCCATATTATATTATTTTATATGTTGATAATAAAGTAAAAACAATCAAAATAATATCATTGTTACCTTTCAATTTGAGTGAATGTTTTATAAGATATATGTAGAAAAAATATGCGACAGCAACAATAATATCATTAATATGTCAAATGAAATTTATTGAGTGTTCGTTATTTACCAAGAAGAAAAATGTTTGAAAACTTCAAGTGTCTGCTCTTTTCTTTTGTTCTATTCATGTTTTAGATAGAATACGAAAAAAAGGCATAGAAAATTATTTTTGTTATTGCTTTCATGATGCTGTTTTCAGACATCATAAAATGTCTCTTTTAACTTATTTTAATGTCCTTAATTGAGTAAACTTCAATTTTATACAATTAAATATCATTGCAATCATACCACCAAAAATAATAATTGAAAAAATAAAACCAATTAGAAAATATACAAAATATGAAGATGATGCATTGATCTGATTAACTCGATTCGTGTTCATATGACTTTTACCAAGTTTAACTATTGGTTTAAGCCAATGTCTAACTAGTTCAATAGTTTCATTCGTTGATAAACATTGACAAATATTTTTCCTTGTAGTGTACGTGGACGAATATTTACAATAATGTCTTAGTTCAATCTTTGCTATTTCTTTAGAACATTTATCTAATCTACTGGAATTGTATAGAAAAAAATTTGATCTTGCACAATGTGAACAAATAAATCCTTTGGTTGCATGTTTATGTTCAATTTGTAGATAATTATTATATTGAGGTATTAAATGTAAATTTGGATTTAGATTAAGTGATGTTGGCGTACATTGTTTTATATGAAAAAATGAATAATTAGAAAATTTCGAATCCAAACATATAATTGCCGTGCAAACAAGTAATTTTGAACAAGATAATTGAGAGTACCGCATAAAGAAATTGAGAGAGATTTAAAATGAATAAACACTTGGCGAAAACGCGCTTATAGAACAAAAAAGAAAAAAACGATTTTTCAATAATACTAATCTATAAGTAGAATAGAAACTAAGAATCGTATGATGTCGCTTGAGAACGTATTAAGTATAAGGTGTTAACAATCCATTGGCCATTTTTTATTTTTGTGTAGTTTTTCAAAATTTCTTTTGGTTGTTATTTAATTTCTAGGTTCCAAAAGTCAACTTTTATTTATTTATTGTTATATGATCTTTAAACAATCAATGACGCCAAAGTTAATATCAAAATTGAACAAGACAATCATTACATCTACAGCAGCTGTTAATGAGCTTGCACAAGAACTTGAATCATCATTACATTGTTCAAATTCGTCTTCTCAATCATCATGTCTTCCTCGTTCGAAAGTAAAATCACGAAAATTTCGGCATAAATTACCTCATTCGAATATTCTTGCTAAATTATTTATAATAAATAAAAAATCTAATGAACAAGAAGGTGGAATTTATTCTACACCAGTTGTTAAATCAATTGTACTTGGAAAACATGAAGCATTTATTAATCAAATGCCAAAAACGATGTCTACATCAGATGATTTATCATATTATTTTATAAAAACTAATCTTCAACCACAAATGCAACATCGAATGATATCACTAATTTCTGATCCATTTTCTGATAAAGTAAGACTATAATAAAATTCTTGAAAAAAAACAAAAAAAACACAAACAATCTCTATTTATTATTAGATGAACCGTATGGAAACGTCAAGACAACTAAAAATCAATCTTCTTCGTATTAATCATATTCATTTAAATAGTCGTCTACCAGTAAAAATAATTTCTACACCAACATGGACTCGCTGTGCTGTACATGTTGTTATACAAGATGAAAACTCACATTGTCTTCGTTTATCAATTTACAATTGGTCCTATGTTATGAATACAAGACAAATAAAATCCTATAATTATATTCAAGAATGTTTAGCACGTCTTTTACCAATAAATTCATGTATCGTTGTATTAGATCCATGGTTAAAAATGTGTCATGATGGTCAAATAGCATTGCGCTGTGAATCACCCAATACACGTTTACTAATGCTTGATTTTGAAACACGTTGTTCAACAGGTACTCGAATAAATGTTGAACAGTTACGTCAATGGGGTAATCTATGTTATCAAGCTGATGATAATCTTGGAGCTATTGAATTTTATACCTATGGTTTAAGGCAAATTGATGAACAACAAGAAAAAGAATTAGAGTGCAATGGAAAATCAGGTATAAACAAATTCTTTCGTTTCTTTATTGCAGAAAGAATAAATAAATGGCGAATGTCTGGGATCTTCTTTTCTATAATGGCATTTTCTTCTTTGTTTTCTGCTATCGAGTATTACCCTTAGACCAACGTAACCTTTATCAAGCAGTAGAACTTCGTTGTATCCGATGGTATCAAGAGAATTGTATGATATCATATTTATGCGACGTTGCCTTGTTAAAGTCGACTGATCATTTTCATTTCATGATTGTATATAACTCAATTTTAGCTACTTATACAGCAACTTGCATTCAAATTTGCATAGATTTAGTTATTTGATTTAAAATTTGATGAAAAAAGTTTTGATGAGTGTAGGATTCAATAATGCAATAAATATGTGAATCAACTGAGATACTACAGCATTATTCTATATTATTATTTTCAAATAAACTTCGAGAATAGTTTATATTTTATTTTCTTGTGTTGCTAGTGAGTTCAAAAACGGAAGAATGTGAACAACATCGCATTCGTCTTTTATCAAATCGATGTGCCTGTTATTTACGTGAACGACACGCAGCTTTAGCTTTGGCAGACACAAGTATTCTTCTATCCATAAATGAATTATCAAATGCACTTGCATTACCAAAAACAACTGCTGGCAAACTTCTTTTTCGTTGTCTTAGTGCTCATCTACATTTAGGTCTGTTTGATAAAGTTGAAAGTCTTATTAAATCGCATAAGCTTACAATCGGTTTAACCGGTGGAGAAAATGTAGCAGCCATCACTTTACTTGAACGAGAATTAGCAAGACTTCGTGATGAGAATATCAAAGGACGATATGATCTACAAGGAATGTTAGGTGAACAAATATCATTTCATAAAAATGAGAAACCATCTCTCATGTTTATTGATTTATCACATTATCACGCTGAATGTAATCGAAACGATCTTTTCGAAGTACGGCCATGCCGAGTATGTATGAAACCAAAATAAAAAGATCCAACAAAAATAATTTTTGTTTATATAGCCAGAAGAAATAACTAGAAATGGATATCCGAAAAATTCTTATGGCATTTATGCTTTAAAAAACATTGAACCAGGTACTCTATTAGTTGTTGAGCAACCATTTGCTAGTATTGATAATCGTGTGATCGGTGAACAACGTTGTCATCCAATTCATTTTTGGCCAAAAAATGAGAAAATTTCTATTATTGATTATTGTAATGATGATATATTACGGTTGTTAAATGAAGTTGAAAAGCAATTATTAATTGGTAATACTAGTTGGATAACATTTGATAAAATAAAATTGATGCAACCTATTCGACAATGGTTAATTGAAACAAAACATAAAAATGTATCAGAGAAAGTGGAAAATAATGAAATATCTGATTCATTAGGTGATAGTCAAATACCATCTTCGTTCAAAAAACATTGGCAACAACGATTTTCAAAGTATATTAATGTTTTGTTCTTAATAATTTTCCTTATTGAATAATCTCTAACGTGTTCTAGAGCACTTTTTAAAGCTCTAATTTAAAAGATAAATTTTCAATTCTATTAATAATTGTGGTGTGCTGGCAATCATCTTCATGAAAATATCAGAGTGAATAGGAAGATATTGCTTCTGTAAATGTTAATGGACATCTAACAAGTCATAAATATGTTATACCTAAATTAAATAGAATACAACAGAAAAGTATATTAGTATGTATAAAGTACCCTATGAGTATTATCTCATTCGTAGTGTAGCAACGGTTTATCCTTCATGCTGATTAGTATTTAGATGATGACAAAGAATAGAGAAATATTTTTAACAAAAATACTGAGTGTAAGTTTGTTAGCGCTCAGAGCTTGCGAAGAGCAAGGAACACTTTAAACGTGTGTTTTATTGTTTCTCTGTTTATTGTTTGAGAAAATAAATGTTTATATACGCACACGAAAACAGAGACAAGGAAATAGACGGAAACGGAGAGAGAAACGAAAAGAGAATAGATCGAATCGAGATAGCTATACATTACAGTAGAACACACTGTAACAAAGTGGTAATTAAGACTTTTGTATTTTTCTCTGTTAAAGGTCAGAAATAAATGTGTATGCTTTCTCCAGCAAACAAACGAGAATGAGATCATCGATTATTCAACTAAAACTTTTCAAGTAGATTAAAAAACAGATGGATAATTATTTTTTCTTTTGCTTGATACAATATGATTTTATCAATAAAATAATCTTAATCTCAAGTTTTTGAAATATATTTAGACACTTAACACCTCCAACATCATATATCCCATGGCGTACTCTCTTTGAAACTCAACAACAAAATCCATTTCGTTCGAAATCAACAGTTGGCTGGTATCCACTTGGTTCAATGTTTAATCATTCTTGTTCACCAAATTGTTTATGGTATCTTATTGGTGATTATCTATTTATCTATGTTTGTGCGTCTAATATTCGATGTGGTGATGAATTAACAATATCCTATTGTCCATTATGGATATCATCATTAAATGAACGTACATCTCAATTACGTCAATTCGGTATTACATCGTGTCGTTGTTTGCTTTGTTCCTATGATCGTTCTAATATGCCTCAATACGAAAATGAATTAAAAATATTTTCTAATTTACGTGCACTATCTAGACAAAAAAATCTTTCACGATCAAAACGTTTTAATTATTTAAAAAAATTGAAAGAGATTTATGAATTTATAAAAAAGAAATTTCGACAACGTTCAATTGGTTTCATCAATGAATTTGTTGATTTAGAAAATCTGTCACATTATTTTCAACATAAATGCGATGAAAATAATCATGATGATATTGATGAAATTGAAATTGAAACATTTTTAAACGAACAAGAATCATCATTTCTTCAACGTTTATCACGTGTTTGTCGTTTGACAATAAAAGATTTACCTAAAATTGGTAATCCGATGTCGCTCTTTGGAACGCATATGCAAGTATGTCTATGAATTCAATTCGTTTCTTTTTTCAGGAATAAAAAAAGTTAGTGGCCAGAATAAATCATATTCTATATTTTAAATGTTAAAGAATAGAATATTTCGTACAAATAATGTTTTTTTTCTGAATACTTTTAGCTACTTGCCTATCATCTTGAACGAAGTTCTACACGTGAGCATACACGTGAGTTAGAACAATGGAATCGTTTACTTGAATGTCTTTATGAAATATATACATTTAAATGTCATACATCAACAAGTAATATGAAAAAAATATTAAATGATCATGACCAATTATTTACATGTCTGTTACAAACACAAACGTTTTTACAAAATCCATCTATTCTATGATAAAAGAACTTTTACGTAGCTTAAAAGCATTGTACATAACAGTAATTTATTTCGTTTGATACTTCTTAGCTATCTTTCTTTCACATTTATTTTCTTTTTCTTTTGATTTCATAGAACTGTATTATATATTTCATATGTATATTATATTGTAAGTGAAACTACAAAAAAAAGAGATTATACTTGTTAAGTTTTTCGTTTTGTTTGTGTATTTTTGTTATACGAAAAAACCTTTTTTTTTCGCGTTGATAAGTAGTTTAATTTAACTGAGGAGAAAAAGAGAAAAGAAATAAATTTAATTGAATCCTTCGGCTAGTATGTTATGTCCATCTGCATGAAAGTTATATAGAATAATTTGAAAGGATAACATTCCATCGTATAAATAGTCATGTATTTGTTTTCCTGCGATATTAATCTCTTGTAATATTTTATGATAAATGATCAATATTGCAGTGATTATAGCTTATTTTTATTCATCGAACGTATCGTATTTTCAAACCAACCAATCATTTCTAACAAGTTCTTGGCAGTACTACTATATTTGAGGTTGACATTGGAATATTAAATAAGTTAATCATTGAGAATTTGTTGCATTTTATCCTATTCTAGGTTGCCAAAATTGCTGAATAGGTAGATAGTACTACTTGAGAATATAAAACACATCGCATTACAACTCGTTATATATTTTTTGACTATGCATCATAACGAAGAATTGATAAAAGAAAACAAAATGCCCCTCTTTGCATTTTTGTTGTATGGAATTTCCCAAACTTTTGTTAGCTAATTCAAGTCTTACTGATGGTAAGAATGTCGTTCTTTATTATGTTTTAGTTTTTTGTTTTCGATTATGATTTATTTATTTCACCTAATGCAACACCGAACAGTAGCAATAATAATAAAGATTCCATGAGCAAATGCATGAATTTTACTGTTGAAATTTTTCTTCGGTTTTCAATCAAGATTCTTTTATTCTATATTAATATTTATCAAAATTATACTTTTCACTTTTTATAACACAAAATGAAAAAATAAATATACTAACTGATTAGAATTAAATAAAAATAGAAAAGAACAAATATTCTATTGTGTAATTAATTATTTGATGTTTGTAACTTGCCAGCATAAATGAGTTTAAGAGCTACCCAAATTTTATAATAATCATTAAATGAACTTTGTCCTGTATGAAGACCAGTTGAACAGATAATAACCGGTGTAGGAGGAGATGATAGTACTTTTTCATTATTCTCTCGAATTAATGCTATACATTCATCAGTTGTACCTTGATGAAATGTAAATGGAAGAGTGTCACAAATAAAATTAAGATTGGCAGGCATCATGCCAGTTATAAATATATCAGAAAAACGAAATGGACGTTGAATTCGAAACGCTTCTTTTGTAAGTGCATTTCTCGTTTTAGAATTCATCAAATAACCAAAACCTTAATCAAAGAAAAAAGAATTGTAATATTATATGTCAACATGACAATAATAATAATATAAGAAAAACAAACCAGAACAATAACGTGGATACAATTCATTTGGATATTCTTGATATGTAACATAGTATTGTGAATTGGTTAAAGTTCTTTCTGGGCGACCAGGTATAAATGACCAGCCAAATAGAAATTCAGATGTGCCCGAATTTATTTGAGCATTAAAAAGCGAATCTAATGAAACATTATATAAATATCGATTTTTCGTATCGTTTGGTCTAGTTTTAAGTTCTCGCACAAGTTCATGTAAAAGAATTGAATTTACGAAAAGATCATCTTCAGTTTTAAATATATATACTGCAGTCGAACAATATTGTTCTAGCCAACGATAAGCATGTAATTCTTTAAGTGTAACCGAATGGTCATCAATAGTTAAGTAAAGTAAATCTTGTTCATGTATGGCTTCATTTGATAGTTCTTTATACAAATTCCCACCAGGTTGATAGCCAATAACAAAGAGATGTTGTGAATGTATACCAAACACATCAGACATTGAACCCCATGTTTCACGAATTGATTGTCGTTGAAGAAAGTGTGCACGTACGGAAATAATTAGAAAGACAAGATTAATTTCATCTACAGAACATATTTGTCTATTTTCCATCATAGGCGATGACATTTTAATCGCATTTTTATAAGCTAATTCTTCAGCTGAATCGTGTCGAAATCGAATAGTAAAATTTGATGAAGTCAACACATACCATCCAATATAGAATAATAGTAAAACACTTAAAAAAAGACATACGCGATCACTACAATTTCGACGCATTATGTTATATCTTGTTTGATGACTGATTGTGGAAGGTACATGCAAATCACGATGAAAGATTTGTTGATATAAAATAGCCTGCAAAGACATAATCTTAATGATGTATGCGTGTATGTGTGCACTGCTGTTAAAAGTGGCACGGCATGTGCAAATAGAAGTGAAAGTCAGTAAGGAGGAACGTAAAGTAAATTTTGGTGTAAGCAGTTTTTCTTTCATTGTTTGAGTGTCTTTTCGAAAGAAATAAACTGGCATATGAAATAATTGCTCATGTGTTCGTTTGTTTAGTCTTACTTGCTATTTTTATTCGTTGCGTTTGATAATTTTAATTGACCTTGCTCATTGTATGTATGAAAAGAAATATTTTTCTATTCGTATCTTGAATTTTAATTTCAAGATGATATAATGAATATTTAATATTGATTTGCAATGTTTTCTTTCTGATTCATCCATTGCTCTAGTAATTTGACAGAACATAGACTTTTATGGCATCAATATGATTTTATTCCTTCGTTCTGTTTTTAATGTCTAGTAAAAGTATAGCTAGGTCTATTTTTGTAAACGTGTGTCGAATATTATTTCAATTTTGTTTTCTAGTGAAAATCAGTCTGTTTTTACTGAAATAAATTATGCCTTTATTTTCTTTGATTATATGAAATAAAAATGGCAATCATTACGTGATGAAATTTTTCGATTTCCGATGATCGAATGCTATCATCATAACAAACAATGTGATATAAATGATCAATATATGTACTATATGTCTTTTTAGTGAAGTTTTCGTGGAAGAAAATATTATTTGCATAATATTGAAATAAAAATAACATATATGATAAGGAACATGACTAAATTACATCAAATATTGAATTTGTTCGTCTTGTCTAATCATATACCTTGTTTATTCCATTAAAAACTGTGCGAACAAATCCTTATTTCTATCTTTCGTACACAATGTTCTGTTGATATATTTGATAGTTTTTCAATTGATCCATACAAAAAGTTTCCCTTCTACAATTAACTCGTTTTGTTATTAATTACTAATACTAATATTTTTCAAAGTTTTTCTGATTTCATGTTTTTCAAAGAGATTGAATAAATATTGCGAGAGATTTATTGTCTGTCATATTTTTCGCACATTTTTGATAGAAAAATTAATAGTATTCTAAGATAGATTTGCCATTGGAGCACCTTTTCAGTCAACTTATATGATTCAAAATAGTAAACGAGATATTGAAAATTAAATTACATACAACATTTACAAATGAATAAACTCAGATTACATTAGAATGCAATGAAAATACCTTGTAAATAAATAAATAAATATATGTATATATGTATATATATTTGACAGAGTTCCATCCAAACCGTCAGAAACAGATCAGCGTAAGACATGCATGAAAACAACAACAATATTGATAAATAATTATTAGAGAAAATAGCCGTGAGATTAGTCTAACTTTTCGAAAAATACTGAATGACACAAATGAGGCCATATTGAGTCATTAAAAGTTTAACCGTTGATTCAATAGTCTTCAAAAATGTTAAATAAAATAAAAACATTTTAATTGTACTAAACCTGCCAATTTGTGTCAGATTAAGAAACAAACGAAAATTATAAAATAATTGTTTAAGATCAAATATTAACAGAAATATATATTTATTTACTTCCCTAAGGGATCCCTCTTTAAAATACGACAAGTGAAGATAAGAATGATAATCAAAGAATTGTACGTATTTCGTTTCCTCTATGTTTATCTATTCCGATAAAAGAACATTCGAAGTAGCTATTCCATAAATAGAAAGATTTGTTTTGCTTCTGATGTTTTTCCCTTATGACATACATTAATAAGAAAATATATTTCAATATGATTATTCTAAAAATAAATTCATTCCAATTGAAACTGTTAATTAACATTGCAGTGATTTGTATGTGAAAAATGTTTATATGACGATAGAGTTAACAGAAAAATAGTGAGCTATTTAATCGAATATCTTGACTGTTTTGTTGCCATTATTGCGTTGTAACGAAAAAACATCGGAAGAATTTTCTTATATGTTAACATTAATATTATCAATACGGTTAAATAGAAAAAAACGCTGAAGCTTAAAATAAATTATAAAGTTTTTCATATTGCATCAAAATTTAACAGCACAATCAAAATAATGAATCAAAAAATATTGTTTTTTTTTCAATTCAATTTCTTTGATTCTAAAAGATAGAAACACTAATCGATTCATCATGAGTGTTATCTATTCAAGATGACATATAATAGATATACTCTGGTTTTCATTTGAATATAAATATAAAATAATTATTGTTTTTCTTCATATTTCAAGACATTTGTAAAGAATATGTTGATACTCAAGAAAAATAAGCCTGTCATACAATTTGTTAATATTATTATCATTTCGATATTTTTCTAGAAAAAGTTCATCAGATAAATGATCTATCCGTTGCCTAATTATCAAAAAGACATTGTAGATTTGCAAATCCTAATCATAGGCATAACTAACCAGACACATGAAGAGATCATATATCTCGCTGTTCGAAGACACCAGTGCTTAATTATCAACAATATGTTTCTTTTCTGTTATACTCAGTTTTTCTTTTTTGCTATATATGTCTTTTCCCTTTACGGTCTATGAGAAAAATATATCTGTGGAGGCGAGTGTAAGTGAGGTTTTGTGGTAGAATGTTGTTATTGCTACTGCATATTTTTCTTTCTTCTTACCAAAGATCATTTGTCGTGTGTATATACGAATGTATTCGTTCTATATTTTTCTGCTTCGATAGTGGCAGTAATACCCTTACTAAAAGGAAAAGAAATGTATAACCGATTTGCTTTTCTTAGTCAACACACTTTGGAACTGCCTTCTTTCTGCACTATCTATACAGATAGATAGACAAAAGTAGAAAGAGGAAATAGCACAAATGAGAGCAAGAAAAATCATGTGCTGATAAGACAAACCGTACGACCGTTCTTTGCTCTTTTCTGTCTGATTTATTAGTAGAAAATCAATTTCTTTTGTTTGTTTGTCGGATCTTCTGTTCGTATATTATTTTGTTTTTTACCATTGTCTGAGAATATTTAAGCATATATTTCATAAAATATGACTTCGCACTACATTGAAAATGAAAGTAATGCCAATCAATATTATTTTGATGCTAACAACAAAGCTGCTGCGCAAGTGCAAAGACTAGCACACGATGCAACGTATGCTTCGCCTGTAACAGTCTCAACAATAGCTGGTGCATCTGAATTTTCATCTTATCCCGTCGGTGTTTCAGGTACACGTTCGCCAAATCAACAAATTCGACCAGAACGAAATGGATATGTTGACAGTGATCCATACCAAATACCACAGCAACATCAATCTGTTGCCGGATTTAATAAAAGTGTGTCTCAACAACAATATCAATCATCTTCATCGCCTGTCCCTCAAGTCAAAGCTACTGTACGAACGATAAGTAGTCCAGAACCACAACATGCATCTTCTGTTCAATATCAACAACAGCAACAGCAACAGCCGCAGCCAACACAACAACGACAACCACAACAGCAGGCATATGAAAATTACGAACAACAAGGTTCACCACAGTCATCACGAGTTTTAACTCAACACCAACAACATCAATACGATTCTCGTCAACAACTTGGACAATCGACAGGCGTTTCAGCCTTTTATCAAGCGCCAAGCTCTGCTCAATATACACATCATGATGTAGACCAACGAACGGAAAGTCCATCGCGAGGTCGTGACCCAAATGTACAGGTATCCGTAAATTTCTTTTTTTCCCATGGAACATTGTAACTATAATCTCAAGTACATTTATATATTACCGATAAATATTAGCGATAATAGATAAAAGTTCCTTTCATCCTACTTGACAGTATGTTTCCTTTACCAAACCAGATATTCTCGTTTTCGGTTGAATCAAATCAGTAATCAACTAGATAATTGACACCCTACTAAGATATATTTTCGTCAATACAGCATCTGAAATCTATATTATAATTTTATCTTATAACAGGTTCAGCAGGTACCAATTCGACAAATACCTGTTAGCTCGCATCAACAAAATGATACGAGTGCAAACTATCAACAACAATCTCAACAGCAGGTAACCTCTCAGCCTTCTCCTAAACAAGTAGAACCTCAGCAACAACATGAAGATCAACTTCAACAATACTACAGTCAATTGACCCCGGGTATGTATCTTTATTATTGATTTGCCAATTTGACCTTATCTTTGATTCGCACTAAAAGATTAAAATTGATAAGAAACAACACCCACTACATAACCTCAACATATAATTACATATATATATATATATATACATTGAATGTTCTAGAACAATATCAACAATTGTTACGTCAACAACAAATTCAAAGACAACAACAAGAAGAACAAAAAAGACAACAACTTGCTCAACAACAATATTATTTACAGCAACAACAGGAACGACAACGTACTGAACAACAACAAAATCAACCGAGTCGTTCAAATCAAGAAGGTCAACATTATGATGAGCATCAAGAAAGACGAGTCTATCAAAATTCGTCAACTCAAGAGCAACAACACCGACCACAAGGTTTGACAAAAAATGACATATGAATTTCTTATATGTTATATGTTTTTTCTTCTCATCGAATATAGGTCAGGATCAGTATGATGCTTATAATTATCGACCTCAACCAATTCAAACTACTGTTTTAACAAATATCAATCAAGATTCTTATCGACCACAACAACATGGTTTGATGAAAAAAAAACTTACTACGATGGCAGACTTATCAAACTTTCTCATTTAGGTGAACAAGGTCAACCAGATGCTTATTACGAGCAGCAACGTCGAGTTGCTTCTCAACAATCACCTTCATCATCTACCTACCAACAAGAACAAAAACATCGTTCAACAGTTACTATTGGTGGAGGACCACAACAACAAATAACTTCGAATCAACAGCAGCACGCTCGAGTCGATCCGGAACGACAAGGTCTAGACGAGCAAGGTATTTTTTCTAGTGTTTTGCTTATTCTCATATTTTATTAATCCCAAATGTAATATAAACACAGGGAACTATCTTGTCTTTGAGAAATATCATGAAAAAAAATGATGTTTACGACAGTAAGATGTATAAAGATCGTTGTATTTTTTTTCAACAATAGAATATTATGCAGCTCAATTGGCTCGTCAGCAACAACAAGAACGAGAACATTTAGCTCAAATAGGAGCTGCTCAACATGCTCAAAAACAAGAACGAGAATATCCTGCTCAACTTGAAACAACTCAACGTCAACAGGCTGCTCATAAGGTTCAATTCCAACCCCAACCCCAACAACAACAGCAGGAACAACAACAACAACAACAAGCTGTACAACCAGTTGGAATTAGAGTTAGTTTTTTGCTAGTATTGTCTATTTTTTCTTATGATTAAAAGTCGTTTTATTCAGGGTCTTATGAATAAATTTACTGGTCCAACCAAGATTCCAACATACGAACCAAAAAATAAAACTGCAACATCACATCAATATTCAAGCTCAACTCATACATCTTCGACTGGAACAGGTCAAACGACAACAACAAAAACAACTCAATCTTCAAAAATATGTTCAATGACATATTCAGCGTTACCGAAACCTCAAGAACCACCTGTGAACAGTGTTGAATATTATAAAATGATGCAACAAGGAAACGTAAATTCAACATCATCAAATGTTCAACAAACAGCTGCCCCACCACACATTCAAGGTCCTGCACCTGGTTTCGGTGCATTACGTGAACGTTTTAAGGGTGGATCTGTTTCTGAAAGTACTGATCCCATACAAGATATACGTCGACAACAACAACAATCGAATGCAGGCAATAGCAGTCTCGGATCATTACGTGATCAATATGTGAACCGAGCAAAAGAGTCAACTCAATCTCAAGAAGAATCGTTCTCGCAACGTATTCAAAGTGTATCTCGATCAACTGTTGCCTCAAATCAATCAGCACAACACCAACAACCAATAACACTTGTGCAAAATATTCCTCAACAAGAAGAATTAGAAGTGCAAAGTGAAAGTGTTGATGATCAAGTAATTTCATCTGAAGGTGCGGTCGCTGAAGGTGGTTCATCTGACGGTGCATCACCTATTGAAAACGATACTAATTTAGTTACAGCTGAGGTTATATGAAGATCAGCATTTAATTAATTTTCATATTGTTATTATACTATCATTAAAATAATTATTTATTCTCTCCTCTCTTTTATTGAACCTAATTTTTAACAGAAAAATGAGTACTAACGCATATACGATCTATAATTAAAATAATGACTGAATATTGATGCCCGTCTTTTTTTCCTAGCTCAATGATATCATACATCACCACATATGTCCTTTTTTTCTCTTCCCTATTTTTTTCGAACAACCCTACCGAGAGTATGCATGTGGGTATGTGGGTGTGTGGGTGTGTGTAAAGTGTTCTCTTAGTTTTATGTTTGCTTCAATCTTTTAAATAAATTTAAACTTATATTCATCATAATTACAATCTTTTTGAATGATGTTGACCGTTAACATTGTCAAAATTCTATGTCTTGTTTTTTTTATTATGGTTTTCATCTACTAGTGACTGCGTTAATTCAGCTAAAAAAATAACCTCAGGCAAAGAAAAAAAACGAATAGGTATACTAATAAATGCCTATCGGTAGATTTCAATTGAAAACTAAACAACGAAAATTAATGGATTGCTAAAATAAACTTTATGAGTCAGAAAGCATGTGTGTTGCTCGGTGTAAGTCCAACAGACGATAGAAGACTGAAAATCATAAGAAAAATTCTAGAATGTGTTCAGTTGAAAGATTATACTTGTATGTTCCATCGGTTTGTGGAGTTTTCCGACTACATGAGATATTTTGCCGCAATTTTCTAGCTGTATTCTGATGAACTTCATCATTAACTTTCATAGAAAGTTATGTCATCAAAATTAACGCGAATGAAGTTCGGCTCAACTATGCAGAGGAAAGTGCTTTATTTCATGTTTTTAAGAAAAAACTAATACTAACAAATTCTTCTAAAATACATTTATAGTTTAATGTAGATCTAAGTAAGTAAAATTCAAAAATGTATTGATTTTTGTTCTGATTGCGAAATAATAATAATTTTATCAACATTATCAAAATAAATATATATGATCTCTCATAAGTGATAGTTCAACCAGAGCTACAAATTATTATAATAAAAAAAAGGTTTAAAAAAATGGTCATGAAATTCTATATTTTCAAATCGATCTTTTCAGAGCGCTAACAGTTCTCAACTTCAAAATCAAAATTTCATAAACAACGAAGAAGATTATTGATAAGATAATATTTCTATGTTTATCAGCCAGTTGTCGATCTAGCAGTGCACTTAGTTCGTTCGTTCGCAGTTATTTTAAAACATAAAATTAACTAGATGGAGTAACATGATGATGATCTATTTGTGAGACATTTATATTTTTTTGAAAAAATAGATTTGACCGCTTATTTGATTGTAAAAATTCTTTTGATTTCTTTTTCTTTTTCTATTTCATTTCTTGTTATGTAGTGCATTCTCTTAAGTCTCTTATTTCAGAAAATTCTTTTTTGACACATTGTTGATCCCTTGACTTTTATTATCATCGTTATCCCCTTCAAGATACATACATGGAAACTTTTCCGTTCTATTTTTGGATAGACTAATCGTATCCTCTTGTGTAAACAGCATGCAGTTTCTACTTCTTCATCAGCGTTATCGTTATCATCTGTTTCCTTTTTCTTTTCATGTTTGTTTAGGTATATGATGACCTATGCATACTATTTGTATTGTTTATGAATATGAACGAAATTCGATAATCAAATAGCTCTTCACCTAGATTCTTTATAAAAAAAAAGAAAACAGAGATAACAGTATGTTTCATATTCAATAACACTAGCAAAACACTTCAAGGTACATTAAATATAATCCCACTTTGATAAAGTTCAATGCATGAGAGCCGATAGGCAAAACTAAATTACAACCATTATAAATAAATTTGTTTATAATAGAAACCAAAAATACCTACATATACCTATTCGTCGAAAACCTAGGATATCTTAGGCCGATATTGAAATATTTCTAGGCACGATTCACCTAGGAAACTTTCCAACAACGTTCTTAAAGTTTTCAAGTAGAACGAAATGAGTTTTATCAATTCCACATCTTATCTGTTCGATTCCATGCTCGGATCACTGAAAAAATGCCTTAAAAGTCTAAAATTTCTACCGCTATTGCTAAAATTTTGCGCATTTCAACTACAAATCGTTTTAATAAAAATTACTACTGTTCCAGAAATAAGCGATTGAAGTCTATTGCTTACAAAAATATATGAGCAACATCGATTAGAACAAGTATTCAGACAATATTTACTTTTGGGTGTTTGTGTGGGTATGAGTATTCTCTTAATCCGCACACCCACACCCAATTACATATATGTAAGAAAGCGCACGTGTACAGGATAAGAGAGAAAAGACGAATAATAGAGAAAGTAGAATAGATTTTATAAAAAAGAATTAAATGCCGCATTGTTTCATTGAAAATGGGGATATAAGTGGTTATCTAAAATTTGATTGGTAGCTGAATTTAATCAAAGAATAAGATAAATTGTCATCGGATATGAATTATCAAAAGTTACCCCTATTTTACAGTCGGATTCAACTTCTTCAAAACGTTTTCGTCATCTTACGTGTTCTCTTGAAACTCATTTTTTTATAATTTTAACTTCATATTGTTGGAGGATAAATAATTCGCATAGAAGCCATTCTTGCTTTGCTACTTATATAAATAGTTGGACTTGTTTACCATAGTATTATTCCAATCGTACAATTGAAAATAAAGCATACCTTTTCTCTTTTACCTTTGACTAGATATCTATCCTTCATTCTGAAATCGAACATCATTAACATAGTTTTATGAATACCGTGATCAGTTTTGTTGATTTCTTTTATAGATTTTTTTCATTATAAAATGCCTGATCGAAATATAAAAAATTCAGTTTCATTAAATGTGCGATTAATTGAAAGTGGTAAAAGAGAAAAGTAAGATTATGTTTGTCCACGTCAAATTATTTTTCTATTTTCTAATAAATATAAAATAAAACAACTTATAAGAGGATGATTGGAGGAATATGAATGGAAAGATCAAATGAAAGATTATTGTAAAGGTATTCATGATGAATTTTTCCTACACTGCTACACGTCCAGAAAAGTTTTGTCATTTTTTAAAATGTGTCATACTATCTATTTTAAACATGCGTTTTTTGAAAACGATGATTTGCAATAATGGAATAAAAACTTAGACAAAAAAAAACCATCTTTGTCAATCGTCAAAAGAGAAATTAACTTCATTTCGAACCGTACTTTTCAAGATAATGTGTTTTAAATGTTTCCATTGTCACTTTGGCAATGTTTTATCTGGAATACAAGAGCATATTAATAGTGATCTATAGCGTGATTAGCAGAAACGTGACTCACCACTGATACAAGGGAGAGGGAGGAGGTTTAGCGAAGTTTAAGCATAGAAAAATGCCTAAACTAGTAATGTTCCATCTTTAAATCTGTAAAACAGGAGAGTCATTACACTGGCCAGTTTTAAAAAGTGCACCGTCGTTAAATTTCATATCCTACTCTAAATGGATTTCAATGAGAGATTTTATAATTTAAATAATATTTAATTATTGGAATAAAATTAATTAATTTGCTTTTGATTAGAAAATATTTCATATTTCTCGATAATGTGTAATAGAAATGCCAGATACAATAAAATAAGAGAATATAAGTTGAAAAAAATTGATTTATTTTTCAATGAAGAATTTCTTTTTGAAAAATCGTTAGATATATACATATATGTACTACATGAAGATAACTTTGATAGGAGATTTAAATGATATTATCTCTTAGAATCCACTCATACTCTTATAATCGTATTGAGAATAAAATTCTGATGTCTAAAGCTTTATTAATAGTAAACCATTTACAAAAAAATTAAGGACACTAAATTTGACATTAACATTTTATTGCATATTTTCTTTTTATTCTGAATAAGTTTTCTTTGGTATATTTTATTTTTTAAGATAAGTTTTTTCAGATGATCAGACAATTCAAATAAAGTTCAAGATGCACGTATTTCTTTCTAATCTGTAATAATATGATAACGTCTAAAGAAAGTCTAGTAGACAGAGAATCAGTGTCTTTAAAATAGTTGTTAAAAAGAATGAATTTAGCTGACAGAACAATTTATTAATTTGCCAAACTAAAATGATAAATCAATTTAATAAAAAATATCATATTGTCATCAATATCATAGTGAATAATGAAAGTATAAAGGTAATTGCTTTTGTTTGTTTATTTTGTATATATTGACAGAAAAGCAAATTTCTAATAAAGTTTGTTTTTGTTCTTTTAGAATGTGTTGAGTAAGCTCTTTTTTGCTCTTCTATATTTGACAATCAATTATAGTTTCATAGTTACTTTTATTTATGTCTGAGTTATGAAAGACATAAGTCAAAGAAAACGAGGACTACAGCTTGATTGCAGACATTTTTTTTTGATACAAATTAAGAAAAAATGTCCGCATCTCAGATTCAAGACAAAATTTATTGTGAGAAAAAAATACAGAAAAATCATGTATCAGGCTTCAGTTGAATGTCCAGCTGTGTTTAGGTTCATAATCAAGATCATCCTTGCCGATTATATCTAATAAATGGATGTATCGATAGAAAATGGGACATAATCTATCTTGATAACCACTGATATCCTGATGGACATTTTTATTTAATTCATCTAGATTTATTTTCGTCACTTTAAATACTTTTCGTTCAGAATACATGTTTACAAAATGATCTGGACGAGGTGTGACGGACAGTTCTAGGCTGACTTGACATAGTTGATATTCTATAATCGAACTATGTTCATGAGTCATCTTATAATATCTATTTTCATTTTATTTTCATAATGATGACATTTTTTTTCTCTAATTAAGAAAAAACGTCCACAATCAAGACATGCAAAAGAAAATAACATTGAAAAGAGTTGTGCAACATTTGCGAAATTAAAATAAAATAAAATAATCATTGGATTCAAACATATCATTTTCGAAAAATTAAATCGATTTCAATGCAATCAGGAAAACTAATGATGTTT